TGACAACTTCACTTATCTTGGAAGTCTGATCAGCCCTAATGGGTTGGTGTCTGACGAAATCTCAGCACGGATTCGTAAAGCTCGTTTGGCTTTTGCCAACTTACGTCACCTTTGGCGGAGGCGAGATATCCGTCTATCAATAAAAGGACGAGTATACTGCGCGGCTGTCCGTTCTGTTTTAATTTACGGCAGCGAAACATGGCCCTTAAGAGTAGAAGACACCCGTAAGCTACTAGTATTTGACCACAGATGCCTTAGAAATATTGCTGGGATCACCGGGTAAGTAATAGTGAGGTTAGACGCAGGGTATTAGGGAATGATGGTAAATCAGTTGATGAGGTTATGAATCTTCATCGACTGAGATGGTTGGGCCACGTATTACGTATGCCTGAACACCGATTACCACGACGTGCAATGCTAACCGGTGTAGGGGATGGTTGGAAGAAAGTTAGGGGCGGCCAAACCAAAACGTGGCATCAGTGCCTGAAGTCACTAACTTCTAGTCTGAGCCATGTTGGTAGATGCAGACTACTTGGTTGGGGTCCGCGTGACTTTCGTAACCAATGGTTGGAGACCCTTGGTGACATGGCTCAGAATCGATCACAATGGCGTCGGTGTATACACTCTCTGTCTTCTCTTAAACTAAGAGATTAAGATCACTTCACATCTTTCTTTCTACGAACTAATTCTTTCTTCCTATACTATATCCTTATTGCAATCTTTCTCCTATATATTACCACCTTTGACCTAACCACTCCTATGAATCCGGTGTTCATCTTGCTGTGCTAATGAGGTATGGCAACCTGGGCCGATGCATACATGTGCCTGGTCCTACGTTGTAGCTGACTGACTGACTAATAATTTCTCAGAAACTGATATTTTAACCAGAAATCCTGATACCTACTCATAATGCAATAACCATATAATTTTTTTAGATGAAAATATCAAGAAAAGACTCCTAGATGATATGACTAGAAACTAATATCAGTAGACTAACAAAACTTAGCCAACTAAAGGAAAGAATTGTCAAGAGCAATGTTCAAGTGTTAGAAACGTTCGTATAATGAGCAATGAATTATTACGGAATACTCCACGACTTTAATATACAGAATTTCAAGATGTATAACACTAGAAAACTTTGAATACATGACTTGATGGATTCTAGGAGAATTACCTGTTGTTATTACAAAGACTATGTGATTTAAACTCAAATTAAGAGTAGCTTTCATAGTATGAAAGATGAATTACTTAATATCTGAACGGTTGTTTTGTGACTATGAAGCAAATATTTAGGTCTTGAAAACGTTATTAGAGTAACGACACTTGATATGTTTCTGAATGAATTCTCGCTTATGACTGGACATCGGAAAAATGATACTGAAGAAGAGTAAATTAGACAATGAAGGTTTTAGATCTACATAAACCGAAGTAAATTGGTAATACATTGAAGGCAACAAGTTGCAGCCTATCCTGACGTGGTTGGCTAGCTGGAATGGTATCAGGATAGAAAACATCTAATGGTGAGATGAGGCACCGTTTGACAAAGTTGCTAACTGTTTATTTGACTGGTGAGGAGATATATATTTAATTGGTAGGCTCATGGGGATGATAGAAATCAAAGACTTGACACCAAGTGTGATAGGAGTTAAACCTATCTCAATGAACTAAATGCACACCCTATTTGTATTCTTTTTTTCTAAACCACTTCGCGATTCATTTAGTTTCTATCCAAATATGTTCCCTTTTATGTGCTATTCCTACGACTTAAATACAAAATACACTATTCAGATTCACTTCCCATTTTCGTCAGACTATGCGCAGATAATTGTGGTAGAGAATTTGTGTGTGGTGCATATCTTATTTTATAATACATGTTACGACTTAACTGTTATGTCCCGACTAGGACAGTGAATGGTAACTTTTTGGACCAATACTAAACATATATTTCTATTGTATAATTATTAAGTAACTAAACTGTGCATATTCATATTCCTCTTATTATGAGCTTTATTTTGACCCATGAACTATTATTATACGTTTTACCATTCTTGAGTTATACCCAGTATATTAATTACTACCTCCCTCATTCACAGCCACATCTGACTAATTCTTGTACAAATATTGTTTCATATTTTATTGGTACTTTGTGGTCTGTTTGATTAGTATATAAACTCAGTATGTTTGAAATATAGTGATTCATTTCGCAGAGGCTCGGATTGGTGTTCTGAACTTAACTGGTTGCGCTAGGTGGAAAGCAGGACCAATCAGAACTCTAGGCTGCTCATATGGGTTTATGCGTCATTGATCCGATCGATAAGTCACTGCCCACTAATCGGCGGTCACAAGTTTTAACATTAATTCTGCTACGTGAATCTGCACTCATTGATTTGAACAGGCAATCAGGAAGACGAAACAAAGAGGGAACAGCGAAGCAGACTGTAGAAGTCGAGTGAGCCAACTCGATTTAACCAAGAGTGGATCGATATTTATAGTCAGATAAAAACAAGCTACAGACATGTGGTGAGTAAGATAGGCAATGCGCAGTCAAGGTCGACAAGCAAATAAACAACGAGGTCAAAATGTAGCTTGAGGAGAATGGATAAGTTGGTCTGTCCAGAAGCTAGAATAAATTATGTGGACCCGACACAGGACCAGCCACTACAGATCGAACAACACGAAGCCCACAAAATAAGTACATGCTGTGTCCCAATGACTCTCTAAACTAGCCTCCAGCAATTCTGAATGCAAGGACAACTCGAAAATCTTCCTCTAGTCTAAGTAACAGTAATACCACGTGAATCCTGAAGGTTCTATGATGAATTCTGAACTATTCTTGATAATTAGCTATTAAGATAGGATTCATATTCGCGAGTTTTGAATTTTAGAATACCGATTTCGAAGTGTATATTCAGTGCACTCATCCACCACTGTTTTTCAAACTTCTTTTCATATGGCTGTCTACATTCACACAACTGAGAGCTAAATTTGTTCAACACTAAATATTAATTAGAATCACCTTTTACAGTACATTTGAAAGATCACTATTGACAAACAGCTAACTGCAACAATGAACGTTCATATCCCTTTTTTTACCAATAACAATTTAAACTAAAAGCATATAATTATTAATTGTTTAAGTTTGCGCTACATTAGTTGATGATAAAACCTTAAAATCAGAATCTAGTAAGTAAAATACCATCAAGACAAATGTATGTGATAAGAAATATATCACAGCCATGCATCTTCAGGTGTCATCAGTTCAGTTTTGGACAACATGTAATCTCGTACCATGTAAACCACAGGTATTATCGTTGATTTTACTTGAATAATATGATTTGATAGATTTTTATATTTTTGTTACTAGAAATATGAAAAACTAGATAGATCTGACAGCAAGTCAGCGGACATTAAATCTTCAAGCCCCTGATCCAGTTTCGTAGTAGTTATCCGACAAAATACAAGTTGTAAGAATCTATACGTATATTTTACACAAAAAGTAACTTATATTGGAGTGGATTTCGGAATTAGACTTTCAGAACAATCTTAATGGAGATTATTATTTACATTTTAATCGTATAAATAATAATAATGTAGATCATATTTGCTATATTGTCAGCTCTCAATCGATTCATAAACTGTCATCAAATGTTCTAAACTCGATAATTTACTGTTAATTAACCACGGACCTATTGCTAAATTTTCCTTCACTTATAGCGTACTCATGTACATAATGTAATTCCCTATTTATATTCCTACATCAACAGCTATTTACTATATATTATCACAAGATTTTTGAATTACAGTTGTACGGTATTTGCTATGTTCGCGTTCTATCTGCCTATTGAGCTGAAGGCGAAGCTAAACCCTAGACCAATAAAGATTAAGATATTTGCGGTTATTGAGCTAGTCGTCGATAGATTATTGTGGCGTTGGCTAAATTTATTGATAAATCTAATAAAACTAAAGACAACAAGGCGGATGTGACTACAGTTAATACACAACCAATATTTATAAATCTCAGCTTCAAAGTTCATTATGTCGCAAGCACAATTAAAAGGATGCCTAACACTGTATCAGCCAGGACTTATTCCGAAGCCAAACTACTAATTCTACATAAAACATGTTTAGTAACCCAGACAAAGGTCGATAAGCACCCCTTTCGTGCTACTGTCAACTACGTCTATAAATTTACGTGTACTTGTCAAATCAGCCACATTGGTCGGACAGAAAGACCATATCTTGGATTTATTAAACATGTTCTAAAGAGCCTTCGGGTAAGAGAAAGAAGTACTTTAAATAATGCAACCACTAAACATATCTTAGACGAAGGACACCAGATCGATACATTGCAATCTTTTAAGGTGATTAATAAACACCCGAGCTCCAAGTCATCTAAAGTTTGCTGAGGCCATTACTATCAGGCGTCAAAAACCTAACTTATGTGTTCTAAACGAGATGGTTGTTGATCTTTATTTGCTTTGATGACAAATATTACTTCATTAAATCATAAAATTTTGCTCATTCTTTCAATTAATTATATCATTACACCTTTTTACTTCGAGTGTCTTTTAGATTAAGTAATCTTATTTTACCTAACTGGGTTTTACTCATCTTATTCTTACCAATTATCAGCGTTTATTCATTACGTAAACACAAGTTCTTTTGACTCTTTGTTACTGACAGTATTTTAAAATGTTCTTTTACATAAAGTATATCTTTACAATATTTTATTTAGTCGATTAAATCTATTTGCACCCTTGCTATATTATACTGTTGTGTGATCAAAGAAAATTCCAACTATTCTTTCATGTAAGTAATTTGAACCCATTGTGTAATTACCACTTTTAAATAATACAGATTGTAAGCAACTGACGAGAATCAAACAAAATAAAATGAATTAATGCTATTCTACTTAGATCTTTCTTTTTGCTCTCATCCCAAGATGATAAAGTAAGCTATGTTTGTAGTATTTTATTTCAGTCAGTTTACTGGCAAGAAATGACAATGTATCTCCTTTGTATTTTTATGAAATGATGAAGTCTTCATAATAATTGTATTCAAAGCAATCATTACAATTTGTAGCTAGTTTAATGGCACACATACATAATGTAATGTTAATCCTGTATATACATAACCAATTAACTAATATTCTGCTGATAGCCATATACTTATGAATATAGGGACAATTCAAATAATTGAAACTAACGAAATCATTCACACGAAGTAGTATCATACATAAAAATAAAAATATATACATATAATTAAAAATGGAGCCCATTGTAGATTACTAATCGAAATAATCTGATAAATCAATGTCTGGATCAAGAAGACGATCTTCTAAATTAGTCAAATCAATTTGATTTAAAATTAAATTTTCTAAAGTTTCTTCTAAATCAGTCTCTCCAATTAATATTGCGCCTTGCATACGACCTGACTTCATGACACATTTGATGAATTCTCGTCCACGTGTAACACGCATTAAAAGATAAGTATCTGAAGCAGAGAGATTCATACCCTGACCATTGAAACGACCCAACAGAACAATCTGAAAGGAGAAGGATGAGCGGGAACTTCCAAATGAAGGAAAGCATGGTAATAAATATTAATAATTCATGAAGACATATATATATATAAACACATACATATCAACATAAACCTACGAAATTCTCGACGGCAATTTAAATTTGATTATTAACAACGAATACTGAAACAAGCCAACCTATTAAAAAGAGATCATATTTTTGTAGCATTTAAATTCGTATGTTTCTATATCAGAGCTCGAAGAACCTGAAAACACTAAAAGCTTTATTCTTCTTTACTACATACAGGTCTATGTACTCAACTTGGAAGTAGTTGTATAGAGGCCAGTGATATTTTTGTGGCCCATTTAACTGACTTCGATTTGATCGTTTGATGTTGTCAATGACATATAAACGCTGTCTACCCTCGTACGTAATTATCGACTTAATTTGAGTTAGAGAATAACAAAATAAAATAAGTCAAATATGAGGACGAATTTCGGATATGTATCTTTCATATACTCATTACCCCAAACATACAATAAGAGAAATGAAACAGAGAAGAAGACCGGAGGAGGTAAACATGCCAATTCAATTTGATAAAGCGTGACCCAATATCTATAGCCAGACCGAAATAAACAAAAGATATGTGATGAGTAGGATAAGCGATATACACATACATTCATATAGAAACAACTCAGGTTAATAAGCGTGTCGTGAACGAGGAATTAAGAAGCCCAGACAATTACGAAAGCTATTTTCTTGGGACGTTATTGCATTTCATTCAAACCCTGTAAAACACTTATATTTATTTCTATCCCTATCTTATTCTACATAACACGAGCTTTCGTTCTATGTATCATTCACTAGTATACCTTTTTTGTTCCAAAAATATTGTAATTTAAACATAATATTTTGCACTTTATTTTCTACCCTAATTCCCTGTTTCGGGCATAACTGTATTTTTCCAAATTATCGTACGTCGTGGTCAAGATATTCACTTATTTATTCATGTACATTTTTGTACTAATCCGAATTCAGAGAATCCAGAGTTCAGTGTCCCAACTGTCTTGTCTTCTTTCACTTGCGTGCTTGCCAACCAATCAGGTTCTAGAATAGTTGTCTCTCTACCCCATCTCGAACTCACGCGTATTAGACTCAAGGTTAAGCCGCTCAGTCTAACGCGTCAAGGTCATAATTTAGACTAGACAGATCAAGGCCAAGTCATAACAAAGAGAATAACTAACAACGTCAAAAGGTGACTCAAGAAGAATAAATTTGTTTATCAGGAACCTAGAATGGACCATGTGTACTTGGCATAGTGCTAGATGCCATAAAAACAACAGGCTGCCCAAACTATAACTGGTAAGGCAAGGTTCGAATCATCAACTTACTGATAAAAACCATTGCGCTACTGCTTCACTTATCTATCTATGTAGGTAACTGAGATGACAGTGAACAAAATATTCAAAAATGGGACTGATAAAACGACAGGACAATAATATTTTCACTTACCACGATATGATGCCATAATACGATTATATGACCTAAACCCGAGACTACAATACCAATAAACTAGACACTCTATCTATGAGCAAAACACAAATTAGAATCATGTTAAACTATATTTACGAATCGCCACCAAATACAGACAGAATCAGAGTGTAGGCCAGACAATAGATCTATGTGACACAAGCACTAACAGTTCACACACATACCGTGAGTTCCGAGTAAAATTCAATAAAAGAAACGAATTAAAAATATTTATTGGTTAGTAAGTCGAACGTTTACTCGTATTCGCTCAGTGACCACACTTCAGAAACATATGGCTTAAGTCAACGGTCTGTCGACTAGAATTGTTATACTTCGTGGAAAGCAAACAAAAGGGCGGTCGGAAAAAAAGACGCAAATGATATAAATAAGAATAAACATTATACTAACAATAGCAATAAAACTTGAAGATACAAGGAAGAACCAGTCTTTTTACAAAGAGTAAATTCAGTGAAATCATGAGGAATTTAATCAGTACACAACCAGATATAGTATGTAGATGAGTTTGTAATTGTTATGACCTACTTTGAACTTCTGATATGACGAGACAAGAAAATGACATCATTCAGGTCAATACTTTTCGTATCGATTCGCTGTGAGTTTCGGTCAGGGTGAAAGGTGTGAACTTCGTCCAGTGCGACATTTTGAGGTCACTATATTCTTGTTTCAATTTGGTATAAAATGTTTCATATAACATGTGTGAATTCTTGTTCACTATGACAATATCATATTCTGTGTTAATTCTGATGAACTATACTTAGTGTATGTTTTAACGGTAATTGTATATATTCCCCCCCATATGATACTATTAAATGGGTGTGAAATTTAATACATGAATGATTGTAATGTGGTCTAAAGATAATGTGATTTCGAGACTTGTTCAAAACGAAACAAGTCACCTAAAAAAAAACATGCGACACTGTTTAATTTTCATTATTTGTTAACTAACATTTTCTGTCCATCTTGCATGCGAAATGAATAAGAGTATTTTATTGCATCCATCAGTTGTTCGTGACACACAAACACGAACAGAAAAACGAAACTGCATAGTGAGAAATATTCACTGTAAATGTTTATACTACAATATACATTGTCTAGTATCAAAAATAACTCACCTTAAATCCAAAAAAGTAAGTCACATGAGTGAAAAGTTCGAAAGAAAAATCCAGCGGGATATTGTGGTCTCCTCGACTATGGCAAAACATAGACTTAGCAGCCTAAAGGTACAAAATACCAAAAGTAGCGCGAAAATATGAGAACCAAATAGTGAAATTTACGGGATTGTAGGAGCGCACTCCTCCTAAGTAGGTTAGAAATACTTCCAAACAAAAAACTAATGAAGATTACCAACTTTTGTTCTGTTATTCAATTTTGTATTCTACCCAATGAAGTAGTACATTTAACTAACGTAAATCCCAAAAATCAGTTATAGGTGTACTTAGAAAAAAGTGTATTACCACTTTTACTCGTGAGTTGATAAACGTCTAGCAACGTTCGAGGTTTACTTTTTACACTACTTTTGAGCAGCTAAGTAGTATAAGATACGGCGAAAACGGTCGTCTTCAAAGATCGAAAAGATCATATTGATAAATGACTCATTTTAAAAACATGCAAGTTCTCTAAAGAAACAACTTAAAAAAGTACAACTCATCAAGTTGAACAGAAATTTACAAAGAATCTTCAGAAAGGGTAATCGATTATCAGTAATAGATGGATGAATGTTATCAAACATTTTAAGCAAATTATCCTTTTCATGCTCAAGAACAGCAATAACACAACATTTCTAAATGCCCCACTAATAAGAAGAGTAGATACGACATTAAAAAGAGGGATATAAACAAAGCCTACAGTTGGACAATATACTCATTTCTATATTGCTGTACCGATTAGATACAAAAGCAATTTCGTAAGGATTCTGACTCATCGTGCTAGGTAGTTTGCTCTGATGACACGATCGCAGATTAATTGAATAATATTTTTAACCTGCTTAGAAGGAATGGATATGCAATGAAATTCATCAACAAACACGTGAATATTGTGAACTTATTTATTTATTTGAACATATAAATATTGGTACAATAGGACACCAAATATATATGCGCCACACAAAACAATGCGAATCCGAAGAGAGAAAAAACGTAAGGAGAGTTAAAAAAAGAACAATGACGAACAGATTAATGTAAAGTAGTGTAATAGTAATAAAAATAATAATAATAGTAATAATGGGGTAAACGGAAAGTTACAATCAGAAGAAATCTTTCAGTTAAGGAAGAAACAACTACTCTTATGAAAAAAAAAGTAAAAGAAGGTTACAGCGGGATCGCCACTGGCTTTTATTCTGAGCCTTATCTAATAACGTCTCTAGCCACTGTGTAGCACCATCTCTAGGACCCCAACCAGGGAGTCGTGAAGGACCAACAGAAGCCAGCCATCTGCAGCCTTCTTTCATACCACGACACTATGTCATACACAGACCACCTCTCCGCTTTTTCCAACCAGTTCCAGCGTCGAAAAATGATGCACGACGTGGAATTCCCTGGGACGACATTCGTAGAACATGTCCAAGCCACCGAAGTCGATGTTTCAAGATGATGACACCAACTGGATTATCGTCTCTGTGCCCGAACACACAATGCCGGACCTCCGCATTACTAACATGGTGCTGTCACTGGATGTCAGCCAAAGCTAGGTTCCGCTGAGTAGGAGGATAAACTTAACACGTTTCCTATTTTCGAAAGCTAGAAGAGTTTGCACCGAAGACATGATCGATGAAGAATCGATTAAATCTAACAAATGCTCATAGAAAATGAATTTTCTTTCACATTGATTGACAGCAACGTGAAACTGAAAGAACCGCGACTGTACCGAAGATTTTATTTGGGATCTAAAGTTTCAAATCCACTAGTAACAATATTTATTTACAAAAATGACAATGTCTTTTGGAAAGTTAGAATAACAGTAGTTTAAAACTGCACAAGAAGTAAACCAATAGCAACTTGTTGCTGACAATAAAAGACAATCATAAAACTTTATTTCTAAAAGCCAAACTTTCTATTTTATGGGTTAATCTCATCTGACCACATATTCACCATTCGTCAGATTCTAGAACACAGGCATACTTATCGGCGTCCGACAATGGTGGTCTTTCTTGACATAAAAGCAGCATTTGACTCGGTAGACCGCGAGATTCTGTGGCAGTGTCTGTCATTGAAAGGCGTACCTCAGAAGTACAGAAACCTTGTGAAGGCTCTTCACTCGAAAACTACTAGTCGAGCCAGGGCTTATGGCGAACTGTCATCTACTTTTGCAACCTCAAGTGGTGTCCGTCAAGGCTGTTCACTTTCTCCATTTTTGTTTAACTTCATCAAAGACCTATTGATGGAAATAACTTTCTCGTCGACTGAATTCTCGGGTATTGATCTCCTTCCAGGAGGTCCACTTATCGACTTAGAATACGCAGGTGACATAGTCCCGTTTGGTGAAGACACTGACAAAATGCAGAGTCTTCTGGTAGTACTGAGCAACAATGCCAGGATGTTTGGAATGCGCTTCTCTCCCTCGAAATGCAAAATGTTGCTTCAGGACTGGTCTGCGTTAACACCTAAACTAAGGATAGGGAGTGAAGTAGTCGAACGAGTTGACAACTTCACATATCTTGGAAGTCTGATCAGCCCTAATGGGTTGGTGTCTGACGAAATCTCAGCACGGATTCGTAAAGCTCGTTTGGCTTTTGCCAACTTACGTCACCTTTGGCGGAGGCGAGATATCCGTCTATCAATAAAAGGACGAGTATACTGCGCGGCTGTTCGTTCTGTTTTAATTTACAGCAGCGAAACATGGCTATTAAGAGTAGAAGACACCCGTAAGCTACTAGTATTTGACCACAGATGCCTTAGAAATATTGCTGGCATCTGCTGGGATCACCGGGTAAGTAATAGTGAGGTTAGACGCAGGGTATTAAGAAATGATGGTAAATCAGTTGATGAGGTTGTGAATCTTCATCGACTGAGATGGTTCGGCCACGTATTACGTATGCCTGAACACCGATTACCACGACGTGCAATGCTAACCGGTGTCGGGGATGGTTGGAAGAAAGTTAGGGGCGGTCAAACCAAAACGTGGCATCAGTGCTTGAAGTCACTAACTTCTAGTCTGAGCCATGTTGGTAGATACAGACTACTTGGTTGGGGTCCGCGTGACTTTCGTAACCAATGGTTGGAGACCCTTGGTGACATGGCTCAGAATCGATCACAATGGCGTCGGTGTATACACTCTCTGTCTTCTCTTAAACTAAGAGATTAAGATCACTTCACATCTTTCTTTCTACGAACTAATTCTTTCTTCCTATACTATATCCTTATTGCAATCTTTCTCCTATATATTACACCTTTGACCTAACCACTCCTATGAATCCGGTGTTCATCTTGCTGTGCTAATGAGGTATGACGACTTGGACCAATGAATACATGTGCCTGGTCCTACGTTGTAGCTGACTGACTGACTGACTGACTGACTGACTGACTGACTGACTGACTGACTGACTGACTGACTGACTGACTGACTGACTGACTGACTGACTGACTGACTGACTGACTGACTGACTGACTGACTGACTGACTGACTGCAAATAATTCATATTACAACATAAGGTATAAAATAAAATTCTACATTTATTATGACATGAAATAGATTGTACAACATGTGAACAATAATTATATAATTTCATTTGTGAACTAGAATTTCGTTTGGAAAAAAATCACACAGAATTAAATTCACATAAAATTAAAACAATATAAAATAGTTGGACCCTAACGTTTTATTGAAATTATGGACCGATCAATGCAAAGCTGCCATTGAAAACCTGAGAGCATTGGACGGCCGTTTTGTCCCAGCGTGGGACTCCTCAACAGTGCGCATCCATGACTCCGCAACCGGGACTCGAACCCAGGACCTTCGGTTTCACACGAACGCTTAACTTCTAGACCACTGAGCCGGCATCAAACGGTGTTCCTGTCTAACTTCAACCAATCCACGACATTTCATTCAATTAAGATTATAACAAATATCAAGGTCAGCAGTTCATGTAAGACACAAACAAAAATGCAACCACGAAAAAATCCAGCAAAATTCAGTTAATACTATGAATTCATTCCTGTAGAGCTTATTTTAAAAAAGTACAATTTGTTATGATTTTCAATCCAGTTGGTGATTAATGGATTCCTTAGTAAAATTGCATTACAATTAGTCAAAACTATTAACATCATGCCTTAAAAGATTTACAAAATTGCACATACAGTTTTACGTATACAAAAATATCGTAAATAAACGAACATCATAGCATATATTCGTATACAGGTAACAATGAGAAAAAAAGTTTGCAAAACTCACTTGAAATCCCATTTGTCTAGCTTGACTCCATAATTTCATTTGAAACCAATGTGGAGACCATGTCCAATTGGCATATGCACAGTCTCCTGCTGCATACACATCTTTCCAATTTGTTTCCATTTGTTCATTCACTAACAGACCACCACCATGTTCCATAGAGGCGCAATGAAATAAAGCATCTAAGTTAGATGACTCTGTGATTTCAGTTCCTTTATTATTAATATTATAAGTATTACCACTATTATGAGTAGTATTATCCACGTTGCTAGGACTTCTGTTTAGGGGATTTAAATTTGCTTCAACGCCAACTGCACTTACAACTAAATCGCATCCATAAATTTCACCATTTGTTAACTCGACATAAACTGGCCAATCATTAACGGATAACACATTATCATTGAGCTTGTTTGTAAAAGGCAGGGTTTCTAATCTATTTAAGTCATGAAATTCTTCTGGAGATAAAAACTGTTTGATTTTGGTTTGATAAACTACCTGTAAGAAGTAATTAAATGAAGTAGATATACGTGATAAGTCTTATTGGTAAAAAAGTTTCCAAATTATAGGTAATATTTTTAACCTATTTAACAAATAGTTTTATTACTACAAGTAAATACAGACAAATTTTAACCGAAAAAGGGACTTCTCAATAGATGATATCCATAATGAAAAAGATAACTCATGATAACCATCAACCACCTCAATTAACATTAATTTAACTTCATTAACATATAGATGACTACGTATTGGGTTAAAGATGTGAGTATATTTATTGCCAGATTAAAGTTGTTTATTTATTTATTCAAGTTGTATATATCAGATGTAAAAGCAGTTAAATAAAATGTATTCTTAATCTTCAAACATTGCTCTAATTGTGTCATTCATTATGCATCACTATAATATAGTAAAACATGGTAACATAGAAATTCAGTTGAGTAATTTACAGCTAGTAAAATGGACACACATTAAGTATATAATACCGACGAATGCATACTTTAAGTAGTCTACCATCGACTGTATTGACAAGTCGTCCATGTAATTTGCGTCCATATGCCCAATCTGGACCTGGAGCAGCACCAGCAACTGATGATTTACCGATATCCAATTCGTACGGATGCTGTTGATCAGGAACAAGCATGAGATGATCGTCTCCAGTTTTTGTGATATCTTCTGATTGGCATTCCTCAGCCACAATATAACGCATGCGTCTGATTTGTGTATCCTCTGAGATTTTATCTCCAGATGGTCTGGAACTAACTTCGGCTTTCTCAACAGAATCACTTTGCTTTGAAATTTCTCTTGCTTCTAATAAAAATGTGGCAGCCACTGAATCAAGAAATGGTGTGCTAATGCTGTTGTCTTTGATAACCCAAATAATTTGACAACCAGAGACTTCATGTGCGATCTCTGTTGCTATACCTCCATTCCCAACTAACACCATACGACGAGTGCCTAAGCAGAAAAGATAGAATGAAAAACAGATGTACTATAATTTTTGTGATGATTCATAATGGATTTCTAGCCACTAAACATTGAGTTTGGAACTCTCACAAACCTGACTGTTAAGGAAACAAGGGAAGATGAAAATGAAGTATGGGAAACAATACCTAGTCGATGTGTCATTTCTCGAGATACCTAGAACACTAAATGGATAGTTAAGAATCTAAAACCACTAATTTGTCAAATAAATCAAGCTTTTAACATCTGAAGACATGAAAAAAAGATCAAGTTCATGATCTAATATTCCTATAAAATTCCGAAATTCGAAGTCTTTTACGATTATTAGAGATATACATGTACCTGAAACAATTGACACAATAACTTAAGATTAAAATGCTCTATCGTGGCTGTACAGGACTGACTTCTTTTGGTCCTCCGAGACTCCTTGGTTGGGGTCCTAGAGATGGTGCAATGCAGTGACTAGAGATGTTATCAAATATGGCTCGGAATGGAAGCCAGTGGTGATCCTATGGTAAATTTTTTTACTTTCTTCACAAAAGTAAACTTTTTTAACCGAAAGAATTCTTTCTGGTTGTATTTCTCCTAAATGAACTATTTTTCCCATTATTATTATTATTATTATTATTATTATTATTATTATTATTATTATTTCACTCTCATACACTAACTTCTGTTCATTGTTGTTCCTTTTTTTATTATACGCACTTTGCATTCTGTATCTCTTCACAACATCACTGTTATTGTGTGGCATGTATGTATTTGGTGTACCAATGTTTATCCATCCAAATAAATGAATCTTGTTGTCAGTGGTTTGTGTGAGTTAGAAGATCCTCCGGCAGTTTCAAGACGCAGATGCTGCTTCCAACTTGTTAACGTGCACCAGCCATAAAGCTTCTCTGTCCTTAGGCAAACTACGAACAATTTTCTGATGTAAGAATATACGTTTTGATATGGCGAGTAATAACTTAATCAATCGGAATGCGAATGATATACGAAACCGACCTTTTTTCCAATCGCGTGTGACATTTATTCACTGCTTAAGAAGGATTATAAATGCTTGATCGCACCATATTGCAAATGTGTTCACACAGTAAGTTAGTGAATTATTATTGTTAAATACAAGTCAGTTCAATTTCTACAAATCTGACTGTTAATCTAATTGTAAATAAATCATAAAAAGTGGTGCATTTCCAAATCATTCTGGTTTATTTCGGGAGTTAAATTAATCCTTATAACCAGTTCCCGTGCCTTTTCTCTTGTGCTCAAGTTGCTGCGTGGATTTAGTCTGGTGTCACTGAAAGCAGCTAGGAAATTGAATTAAGCATTCGATTAGCAAAAACATCATGTTTATCGTTAGCCGGAGTAGACCGACATGCCTCAACGATTTGAAAAGAGAATGTAGAAACCAAGTCCTTATAAGTGGGACCTTTCGCGAAGCCGCAAGTGACTTTATTCGCCATGTTGATAGCCTCATGTAACTACAGCCAGCCCTCATCTATACATTTCGGTGGGTTGATAGATAGCCTTGAAATTTTCTCGACTAGATTACCACTTGCAACAAAAAGTGTAACCGATTTCCTTGCACAGATCCGTTTAGGACGATGAATTTGTTGGCCACTGAAACGTAAGATAAGATTGGTGCAAAGGAGGTTATGATCAGGGCCGAAGGAGCGAAGGTTTTGTTCACAAGCACGCCAGCGGTGACTGCCTACGATTTGAGTCTAGACCTGAGCTGCAGAAAAAGGACACAAGGTAGCACATCGGCAATGATTGTGCTGATAGTTAGTGCTCGTCATGAACAGGTTGTAGCCTACGCAAAGTTGCAATAGACGGTCACTGTTATCTGACCTGTGACCAACAAATCCACATTAGCTACTTAAATGATTCTTCTGTGCCTGAACGTCCAGACTGTACATCTAAATCTCCAAATAGTGCTACGATATCTGACGAACGCGGTTTCTGCAGACCACTTAAGTGGTGGCAGAATTCACTCTTGATTACGTCCGGGCTGCAATATTTCTGGGTTTAGGCGGAGATAACGGAGACATCGTCTCTCACACCGATTATTTCTCAATTTGATGGAGCTTTCTAAACTAACAGCACACAATCGACTGTTAATGAGGGTCTAATCATCTAATGCAACCTCTGCTCTAGCGCTCAGTGAGACACTTACACCAACCAAACCAGACGAAAATGCCACAAAGTCCCCGGATAAACGCACATAAAACAAGCTTTTCGAAGCGACAGATAGAGAGCGAATTTGTAGTACATCACTATTCTTGAATATAGGCCTCGAACAGACAACAGACATCAATGTTAAGACTTTCTAAAGACATTGTCAACCCTATGTGTTGTCATAACTCCATTAGTGTGCGAACGTTGAAGGAGGCCAGTTTGAATGTCAGACATAGTTTCAGCATTCGTATTCAATGAAAGTATTCAATTTTCGACTGGTCAAATACTTCAGATCGTTTAAATAGGAATAGATTCCCACCATAGGCGAGCTGTTGTATTAATTGAAAATAAAGGAATACACAAAACGAGAACAGACAACTTATCCATTGTAAAGGATAAACGAATATCACCAAATAATTGTAAATACGATTTGTGAGAGTGCGAATTGAAGCGAGAGTTAATTTTTTTAGTTCTGACCATCATCTGATTTGTGTGTGAGCTAGGGTACAGCCTAGGCGCCCAAACAAAACAGGTGATTTTCTTAGGGAGCCACTCCCCGATCCTTAGACCCAGATGTCTAATCCACAGAGCAATGGTAATTTCCATAGGCATAAAGAGTTCATCAATTTGTGTGTGGGCTGTGATACTGCCCGGGTGCCCAAACCGAAGCAGGTGGTTATCTTAGGGGGCCACTTCCCGAGCCTTTGACCTAATGGTCTAACCCACAAGGCAGTGGAGCATCGTAAGGAGATGCAGTCCCATGAAAAAAAAAAAAAAAAAAAAAAAAAAAAAAAAAAAAAAAAAAAAAAAAAAAAAAAAAAAAAAAAAAAAAAAAAAAAAAAAAAAAAAAAAAAAAAAAAAAAAAAAAAAAAAAAAAAAAAAAAAAAAAAAAAAAAAAAAAAAAAAAAAAAAAAAAAAAAAAAAAAAAAAAAAAAAAAAAAAAAAAAAAAAAAAAAAAAAAAAAAAAAAAAAAAAAAAAAAAAAAAAAAAAAAAAAAAAAAAAAAAAAAAAAAAAAAAAAAAAAAAAAAAAAAAAAAAAAAAAAAAAAAAAAAAAAAAAAAAAAAAAAAAAAAAAAAAAAAAAAAAAAAAAAAAAAAAAAAAAAAAAAAAAAAAAAAAAAAAAAAAAAAAAAAAAAAAAAAAAAAAAAAAAAAAAAAAAAAAAAAAAAAAAAAAAAAAAAAAAAAAAAAAAAAAAAAAAAAAAAAAAAAAAAAAAAAAAAAAAAAAAAAAAAAAAAAAAAAAAAAAAAAAAAAAAAAAAAAAACGTTTTAATACGATTTATTCCGGGATGTTCTGCGTGCAACTGTCCAAACACTGCTGGTTGCAGCTTCGTTGGGATTATGACACGTTCAGCAAACAGAACGCAGTCATCGATGATTGAAATAGTCTGCGCTGATAAAACTGCTGAAGCTCTGCGGAGCTGGTGAGTGATCTAGTAGCATGACTAATTGCCTTTTCTGATTTGTCCGGAAACACGTGAGATATCACTGATCCAACTCCATAATAATGTGAAATACAACCTGAAGCACACCACATTATTTTCCTCATGATCTTTGTTCCCTCTTATCTTCCACTGGTTTAGTTGACTTTTAGTTTTTCATATATAAGTGTTCTTAACAAACAAATGCGTGATCAGATTTTTTTAAAATGCATTGAGTTAACATATCACATAGTTCTGATAGGCTTCATCTTATCGCACTATATAAATTTACTAAAGGAATGAATTGATTTGAGTCAGTGAGATAAACGATTTGTTAGAAGGCGTAGAACATCCTAATAAACTATGGCGATCAAGTCCCACAGCTTAATTGGAAAAAAAAATAGAAACTGGGAGAAATTCATTACCTCATCATATATCAACTTTTAGGGTTCAGATAAACATACCAAAGGCATTTAAATTAGAGTAAAATGTTAACATATATACATAGATCTTAAAGAATCAGCAGCACGACTAGTACGCTTAATTACACAATAAAAACTATTGTAATGCTCAAACACTGCTTATTATAATCAAACTTCACGTATATGCACATTATTTAAGAATAATTAATTAGTTCTAGGAAGGTCTAGAATGTGGATCAAATAAGTCGCCGTTCTAGTCAAATGTTATAAAGTAACTTCTTTATGTCAGTCTTTTCACACAATATGATTAAATCGTCTTAATGATACGAACTGATGACAAAATTAATGCACATGAAGTATAATCCATAAATAACCATGTACTTACCCAGTAGACGGTGTTGAAAGTTTTTGATGCTCTCTGTATCCCTTAGACCAATAACATATGGGTGCCTCGGATCAATAAGCCGCGGAACACCGCCAGTTGTTAGACATAATTTGTCATAAAAAATCGGACTCTCATAACCACGTTGTTGTAAATAAACAGTATGACTAGAAGGACTGAATCCAAAAATGTAATAAGAAAATAAAATGATGTATATGTATTTATATGAAGAAAATGACTGAACAGATCAGTTAGAACATATTGATAACGAAGTGACATTTTACAAACTTCATCGGTAAAGGCCTCCCTACCTTGTCGTGCTAATACATTGTTTGATTTTGAAATCCTTAACATTGATTTGCTGGCTTTCAAAAGATTCTCAGGCGTAAATTCATGTAATGATTGGTAACAACGAAAAATTAACGAGAACTCGATCGTTAAACCAAGACGGAAATGATACCTCTAATTAAAGCAAATAATGGGTTTTGTCAATATCAGACACACACAGGACATAAGTATGGTTATTGTTATATCCTAGCGAGGATTAAATTACGAATAACTTCTGAGACCCATTAATGGACTAATATTATAAATATATATTCCTATTATATAACTGTTCAGTAACTAGATTGTGTATATTTATATTCCTCTTATTATAAGCCTTATTTTGACCTATAATTTATTATTATACGATTTACTTTTCTTAAAGCATACTCAGTTTATTAATTACTGTCTCCCACGTTCACAGCCACTTTCTGACTTTATTGTGTATAAATGTTATTTCCTATTTTATAGTGCGATGCGGTCTGTTTGGTTGGTATATAAACCAAGTATGTCTGAAATAAATGATTCGCATAGTGGAAGCTGTTATTGATGTTCTGGACTCCACTGGACGGGCTAGGCGAGCGAAGGACCAATAAGGACGCTAGGCTGATCAGACCGGGGAAACGTCATTGGCTTAGCACAGTACATGAGTGAATAAGTCGTATTTCGATTGGCGAATAAATTAAATGATAACTAGCCGGACTGAAAATCACAACAGTTACCCACTTAGTCGCAAATGCTGGATTTATGAACTGCCGTAATCCATCTGTGGAAGTCTGAGTATTCACCCATCAGCCCTGCACGGTGTGTAGATGTAAATGAAACACTAAGTCCAAGGGAAATAAGGAAATTTTTGAACGGTTTACAATGGATAGTCACCTCGAAATACTAGTATGATATGGACTTAAAAATATCCCTTGAACAAAGCGCCCATTTTTACCATAGCTTACGAGCCCACTAACTAGAACTCACATGAGATCAAAAACAAATCTTACTGAAAACTGTCAATTTAACTGCATAAGGCAAGGTAATCATATTAGCAGGTGACCATAATGAATACAATGAGAATCTTAAGGATCTCATAAACCAAAGATGTCTATTTTTCTCTTACAAGCACTTGTTCTTAGCTAACACAAGGAAAAATATTGTCTGACTAAATAGTCAGCAACATTAACTCAACAATGAGCAAATATAGATTAATCACTGTAAGCCATTGTTATCCGAGGCAAAGCAAGTGGTTTTCTTACGTAACTACACTTCGGGACATCGACCCGTAAGTATACTGAAAAACGTGTTAACGCGACATTAAGAGAATCCCTATGTTAAACGGACATCTACATTTTCTATAAATCTATCATACGTGTAAAGCACATAGCGCAAACACATACGCTATACTATTTGTGCTGTAACGAACATAAATAAAGAATGAAAGTGTTTAGAACTAACCTAGGACACAAGTGCTTAAGCTAGGTTTCAGTGTTCTTCATATTCATCTCTGACCGATCAACTCATAAGATCTAAACCCAATATCCCTGAATCGGCTAGTTAGTCAGTCATAAATAAGTGTAGTTCCACGTAGCCACTCCTCGTTGTAGTCAACAGCAAGTTTTTTTTAAATCCCTTCTCAATTAGCCTCCTTGATATAGTAGGATTTTAAGGAACAAGTGTTTCAATCAATAAATACCGATTGAGTAATCACAACATGTAATTAAAGAAGCGTCTACAGTCAAGAATTCGATTTGATCAGTGAGGTAATAATGTTATTCATCAAAAATAGGTATTGTCATAATATGACAATCAAAATGATGTACAATAACTATCAAGTTTTTGTTTGGTCACCAACGTCCGTAGTGTTATTTAGCTTGATGATAGCATCAACGGGATAAGATTGAGGTTGGCTGAAAATTTTTTACTAATGGTGGTACATTATTTGATATTTCTGTAATCTTATGTCACAACAATGTGTGATGCACACCCTTAAAAAATACTAATCATGGCTATGGTGAGTGCAAAATAGAGGACGATACATATTCCAAACAACTTATAATGTTAATCAATTAAGTTAAGAAATATTGGATTAAGTTGCATAAGACATTCGGATTTATTCTGTCGATGACACTGCAGCAAGTGCACATCGTCCTGGTTTTATGATAACTCTTTGTTTATTTACATACTCTATTTTAGCACCACTTGCTATTCACTTGACCAGTAGGTACACTATTCTACAAAAATGTAGAGAAATATAGTCATTTAATCACTCAAAAATAACAAAATATTTTAATTAACAGATAAAAGGTATATCAAAACCACGGTCCAGCATCAAACTTACATTTGGACACTTTTCCTTAAGAAAATGGTTTAACGACTGACTTAACTAATACCAGCAACTAGTACAAAGTATCAAGTAAATAGAACTCACTCTAGTTTTATCATTGTATCACAGATTACGGTTAACGTGTCGGGCCATGTTTCGGACCATGAACTACCAGATTTCTCCTCAATATCAAAAGTTTCGATCATATTGCTTATTCGACGCAGATTGATTGTAGTTTTCACAGTTTGAGAAGCAGATATCAATGCTACACGTTTAGATGCATAGTTTAGATGACCCGACGATGACTGGAGAGCCCCAGAAAACCTGCTTGGATTTAAGAGTTCGCATAATGTTTCAGCACACACAACACCAGCAATCCCACCTCCAATAATAACATAATCAAAATGATTCAAATCCCTTGCAGTAAAGGCAGAGGACATTGTTACTAAAAAAGCTTAAGTGCCCTAGAAACAAATGAAGAGGAAAATGATGATCAATGAAACTTTACTAGTCCATTCAAGTTTAATTATTGACTACACATTAAACTGTTCATAATCAAGAAATAAATCTGATTTACAAGGAAACAACATTCACTCTGTGTGAAATTTTCTAGTAACAATAAGAAACTGATTAGCTGAGAAAGTGAATAAAATATAATCACAATGGTGGTAATAAGCTACGGCTGTCAAACAAAAACTAGTGGTTTTAACAAACTTTCAAAGCACATTGCAATGAGCCTTCCCATTTATGTGTTCATTTAAATGAACAATTGTGAAAGAAGCCAAAATACCAATGATCATCTGACATGGGGACCATCGAAACTAACTAGACGGATGCAAGTAGATCATATTATCGTCATTTATTGCTTAAGACTTAGTGGAAGGCTGGTGCTTGTTCTGCAGTAAATTTCTGTTAAACACGATCAAGCTGTATTGTGAAAACGCGTTCTCATGTAATACTGGATGACAAAACTTCAAGAAATACTCTTAGAGCTCAACTTAGAAGTCAAAAGTATATTTAAGGCTCCGAACGCGATAACGAGCGAAGACAACTTACACGCAAACTGATATAAGACCTACGCGTGAATTGTGGGCGATGAATGGAGAAGAGATGAGAAAGGGAATGAAACAACACCAGACATGTCTTCAGATTTATCAAAAAAAGACAGGCATCAAAAGCCCAAATGTTAGAGGTCGAGTTACAATATCTCCAAACAACCGAAATGGGAAATCGACACAAGTCACCAATTTGAGATAGTGAAAAAGACTAGCAGCTCAGGTGGATGATTTAGGTGGAGTTTAGTTTTCTGAGCTGGATGGTTTGGTCGTGAAGCTTTCATTGTTCTTCTAAACAACATAATCAGTACAAACTCTAAGTAGGAGTGAAGTGCTCGAATTTTTCTACATGACTCACAACTCGTCCTGTCGACCTCGACCATACAGCTCAAAGAACAAAACTCCACCTAGGTCCCCAACTCTTAGTAAGGTTAAGGAAGCTATAACTTGAATCAAAGGAAAGCAGCATAACCTAACAGGCTAACTCTATAGATCTTTAGGGATGACGATGATCGAGATTCTGTCGCTTCCTTATACCTTTTCAACGATTGATTTACCAATACTTAAAGTAGACAGACGATATAGTCCTAATCGGTGAAGACGGTGACATAATCCAGTATTTCGATCAGCTTGAGAAAAGATGTGAACATGTTCGGTATGTGCTTCTCGCCCTCCAAATGCAAAATGTCATCAGGATGAATTTGGATCGTCGCCTACTTTGATCATAGGAAGTGAAGTAGTTGAGTATGTTGACCACTCCACTTATATCATGTCTCGTCAACCCTGGTAGTTTGACTTCCAAAACAGTCTCACCACGCATTCACAAAGTTCTGTTGGTTTCCTCTGATTTGCATTGTGCTGTAAACGAGATGTCCATCTGCTCGCCAAATAACAAGTATAGTACGAAGCGATTCGCTTTGTACTATTCCGTGGACATGAAACATGGTCTATGAAAGTAGAAGAGGCGCTCAGGGCGCGGGTTGTATTCCTCGTCTATCATGGACCAACAGAGTGAGTGATACTGAAGTTAGGGATACGGCACCAAACAAAGGTGGCAAGTTAGTCGATCAATATGTAGATCTTCATAGACTGAGGTGGTTGAGATATATATTGCATATCTGCAACCACCACCTGTTTCGACACCCGATCTTTGTCATCGTTGCTAATTAATTTATTAAACAGGTTTTTGGTATGAGCCAAAGTAAGTGTAAGAGCTAATGATATTACCCAGTTGCCCAAACAGAAGTAGGAGGGGCGGGGCTCAAATCTAAGATTTAGTAGCCGAAAACCGAGGGTCTTAAAACCACCAAGCCACCACTCGTAGTAGGTTGAAATCAAACCAGGAGGAACTAAACCGAGACGTATCGTGAGTCTGCGAAGTAACTTACCACTAATATGAACCATGTTAGTTGCAAACCATGACCAGTAGCTGGAGACGTTGAGTGACTCGGTCCATAGGGAAGTTGTAGTGTTGTAGGTGCAGACACTCTACTTTATCCTGGGTCTCGAGTTTTAAAAAAGCCTGGGAATTTTTGGTTCCGAAAATTCCCTATTTCTTCCCGAATAAAACTGTTGATAACGTTTTTTACTGCGATTTATACGACTACTTTGATATTCATCTTCATAACCTTATCCTAGTAAGGCGTGGTAACCTAGGCCAATGCACATGTCAGGTTGTATATTGCTTACGACTAACCGATCAGTAGAATTAGTGCATATTTCTAGACTGCTTACTTGTCCATCAATTTCAGTCCAAGTTTTGTGAATGATCATAAATAACTGCTTTCAAAAAGGAAACATACAGACGTAATTGTATCAGGTTGTAAATATTCACACCGAACTGAGAAAACTATCCTTCAAAGTACTTTAAAATCTCATTCGAACGAACTAACAAGTGTTTACTAATCACATCTCAGTTGTACCAATCACTAATCTGTTTGGCTTAATCCAAGGAGAGCGACCACAATAACCGACACTAACCTTATGATGAACGAGGTAAACTCATGCGGACAAACTTCGTAAATCGAGATTCAATTATTAGGGAACTGTTTTCGTATCATCAATGAAAGTGTGCTCATTTAAATGTGTGTGAAGACTTTTCTTTCTCCAGTTCTATAATGATTTGTTCGTGTATTTATGGAGAAACCAATTCTTTAGTTGTCGGAACATGATCTAAACACCCGGACCCAACCATTGAAATACTTTGAAGAAAAGTATCTAAAAGAATAAGGACTTATGGTATCAAAATTAAAATAACATCGACCGAATAAGAGTCACAATCTAATTGGGCTGTATGAGCCTTTAATCCATAATTCCCAAGATGCAAGGAGATAGTCGTTGAAGACTGATTAGTATGATTATTAACATCCTTTTTAATATTTATTTATCTGAGAACTTACATAATTCCCCAACCCACATATCGATGCTGTATCGCATGCTTTATTCATAAGATCATAGTACAGAAATCAAGCAATGAGACCCAAACATAATATCTGCCGTTAAATATATAACAGAAAAAATGTAGGAAACTCCTACATAACCACTTGCATACTTGAAAGGTAAATAAACCCGCTATGTTAAATATTGCGAACAATTTAAGTAAAAATAAATAATCTGACAAACAAAAGCCAGTAAGACACTTAATTTATATTATTCAATTCATATTCCATTAGGAACACAAGAGGGCACTGTATGTAAGAATAAATAAGAAAAGGTACAAAAAGCATTCAACGTCAAACATGTTGTTTCCTGTTATCTTCGTCATATATCTTCTGAACTCCACTTCTAAGAAAGGACATGCGCATATCAATATTACGTATCATTTCCGTAGCTCGTTCCACTTTGTAGGTAGTGAGCGCACGATAAAATAATATAGCGAAAATGACGAAAATGAGCATGGCTGGCATCAAAACAATTGTTGCGGCTATGGCAGACAGGCTACTCACAGACCAAAATTTAACCCAAAATGCTAAAGTTACCACAGCTAAGAATAAAATGATGCCAACCACAGTACTGCAAATCCATGCAACTTCAACAAATCTATAAGGAAAAATTGGTAACTGTATAACAGATATCTTACGTTCTTAATCTGTTGTGTGGTGCTTCCTCAATCAAATAACAGTCTTGAGGGACCATGTATGAGTCAATATGTGGCAAAATACAAGTACTTATCATTACAGCCATTATATGCACGACAACCAGAAGACATGAAAGAATCGTGAAAGCAAACAATAATCCTTCAGGTGGTTTACTTTCGCCAACAGCAACCTAAACCACTTATTTACAGTCACTGTTAAAGTAACCTGCAATTCAATGATTGCAACCATAGCGAAACCTGCCAGCAACGCAGACACTCGACTAGTGGCTTTGAGCTTTGCTCGACTCAACTGTAAGTGTCTTCGAGCTAGTGAATATGAATCTGGGAGTACTGAAGTAACAACGTTGTCTGAACTCATTGGAAGTCCTAACAGTAAAAACAAAACAAGTTGGGATTCATAATAAGAATGATTGAACAGAAAACGAGGTGTAACGTTAATTAATTTATAGAGGATATGAAAATGCCTTTCCTCAATTGGTTGGAAAATTCAGGCTTTATCAGTCGCAACATCGTGACTGTCACTTGTCGTTCTAATATACTGAGCAATATCCCAAGAAAATATTTTTGACATGAAATATAGTTTGTCAGCTAGGTCAGGATGATTTAGTGGACATAGCAGGGGGATTTAAATGAGAAGAGACAACAGCATCCCTGGAGCAAAATAAGTTTCTCCGTCAAGTAATCAACTTTTAGGATCTACTGCTGACAGAGTTGGTATCTAAACCTTTAAATGGCTTAAGTTATTGAACACTTGTTCAAGAGATTAGACTGAAGTTTGCTGGTACAGAACATTCACAGGCCTCTGCCACTCCACCCTCAAATCATACATCTTATTATACAAAAGAACAGTAGGACCAGTTTCGTAAAACCCTGTGCAAGTTTTGTCACATAAAAATTACATGAATGATGCTATTTCATAATAAAGTAAATCTCTCAAATAACCGATACTTTACTGTCTATATTCGTGTAAGGTCTCATTAGCATTCTGCTCTTTATACCTGAGATGTACATCGTAAAAATTTACAGATGTCCTCAGATTAAGAATTCTTTGCCCGAAATAACTACTATTTGCGTAACCATATTAACAGATATATTCTGATCAGACGGAAACATACATCGGTAGTAAACCAATTCATGAAGTCACTAGAACTTCGTGAGAGTTGTTTAGGATGGGAACTTTTGCATTCAGTATGCGATACCGCAGATAAAAAATATGAACCAGTTCTATTTCAAGTCGTGAGCAAACGTACCTAATACTTGTCATTAGATCTTAAAGACGCGTCTTTGAGATTTAATGTGATACGCATATCACACATGCGTATCCATATATAATATATATGGACTTGATAGGTCATTTAGTTTTCTATGTAGTGAAAATGAAGAACAGCTTCCATAGCTGTCTGGCATTAAAAATTGTTGAGTGTCTTAGTTGACATCGACTTTGAATACTAATTGGATTAGCATAACATCATGATACTTAACTGTGTCAGATCTTATGTCTCAACGGTTCAATAAACTTACAACGTGATACACCCATATTTAATAATGAAAATAAACGACAGCAGTTAATAATGCGCAAATGACGATTTACAACATGTCATCATGAACATGTAGTAGTTGAAATCGGTTCTAAATTGTCTTTAATTTGCTCATCATTAGTGCATGAAATATTTAAACATGTTCCAAATTCATCATACTTTGAGGCGCGAGTTTTGAAATACCAGTAATACGTTATGAATTCGTGAAGCATGTTACGTGTCCAAAGGCATAATCACAATAGTTTAACTTGATTTATTTTAATCAACGAACGATTTTTAACTCATTCGTGTTATAACTATGTCATTTTGTTGTTTCTGACACTGTATAAACCTTGGTTAAACTTTTGCTTGCATTCCCGGATTATTCAGCTATAGTTGTCTCCATGTGGTAGAGGAATATTCACAAGCAGTGGTGATAAAGCCACATCCCCACAAATCTGAAGCGGTAAATAAATCCCCAAAATAAATAGCTCTTTATGTTTTCGACATTGGATGCTGACCACATATTTTAATGGACTCACCTAGCTGAAGGCGCTCGGTCATGCATCCGCACTAGATCACGAGTGAGAACGCCGTGCTCAATAACCCCTGTAATTGCTAGCCAGATTAGATCAGACGATCCACGATATATTGATAGCCTATCAAATATATCTTCGAACCTCCTCGCTTCGGTCTTTTGATTTCACTTTGTGGGTACGCTTCACATAAAAGTGTTACTGGTTAAAGCGTTTTCAAACTCTGAACACCTGTGGCATCTTCATTGGTGAGCCTAGGGTGAGTCTGTTCCTTGTTGAGATTTTATAAATCACTGCCTTATTTTAATTTTTTATACATTGTGATATTTAATTAGTGTTTTTGGACACAGATTTACTTTCACCTCGTTCGTTCTCATACTTCATATTTCATCATGGCTGAACAGAAATTCAAAGTTCTTAAGCTTAAGACTTTGTCCCCACCTTCGTTTCAACTGATTCCCTTCTGGCTGGACAACATAGAAGCCTGGTTCCGCTAAACACAAGCCCACTTCTTCGAGCGCGGTGTGAACGACACACGTGCACAATTTTTCGCGGTAGTAAAGGCACTACCTCGCGGCTTCAACAGGTACGTAACACCTAGTATGTTTACTAGTGGTGATTCATGCCATACGAAGCACGTAAAAGATCTATCCTTAAACGCGGAGACCTAACCCATCGATAAAGGTTAGACCAACTCTCTAATAACATCGACCAGCAACACGGTTCAGCAACAGACATGTTGCAACGAATGAGAGAGGTAGTCGGCCAAATAACCTTCGATGATGGCCTATTCAAACAACTTTTCTTATTCAAACTTCCACAACACATGCAAGCTGTATTGGTCTCGTTTCTAAGCAATACTGTAGACGAACTGGCTGCATCTGCTGACCGCATCTTAGAAATCACGAAATCTAAAGCCGAGGTTTTTTCAGTCAAAGAAAGGCCTTAAACGACCCAGAATGACATTACGGAGTCATACCATTTACATTTTATCTTAAATTTCGTAACGACCGTAAACCGTCACATACCCCGCTAAGCATTTCACGTACATTGGACATCGGGAGACTGACAACCCCGACTGGTTCTGGTGTTACACAAAGAGTTACGTTTACCTTCACGTGAGTTTACGCAAACTCGTACACTGGATTTTCGTTGTTACAGATGTTTCTATGCCAATCACTGTTATAAACCTACTACAACACCACAATCTAATCATCGATACGCACAAACAGAGGCTAGTAGACGAAAACACTAATTTATCCGTTTGCGTAACTTCCTTCTCTGGTTGCAAATTATCCCCTGTCACAATTAAGCATACGATAGACCCACTCTATCAACTACTACTCGACAAGTACCCTGAGATACAACAAACGCAACCGAAACTACCGTGTGTAACCAACAACGTTACACATCACATCACGACTACAGGACCACCTGTATTTTCTAAAGCACGCCGACTAGCTCCTGAAAAGCTGAGGTTGGCGAAAAACGAGTTCGACCATACGATAGACTTAGGAATCATACGACCGTCAAGTAGCCCATATGCATCTCCGTTGCACATAGTCCCTAAAAAGGACAGCAACGATTGGCGTCCAACTGGTGACTATCGGCGATTGAATGCGAAAACCATTCCCGATCGTTACTGGTTGCCTCATATTCACGATTTGACAGTTACCTTGAAAGGTACAACTGTTTTTCCGAAAATCGACTTGGTTAAAGCGTATAACCAAATCCCTATGGCTACTGACGACATACCGAAAACAGCTATCATAACTTCCTTCGGACTCTATGAATTTTTGCGAATGCCTTTCGGTCTAAGGAACGCTGCCCAAACATTCCAAAGATTCATAGACGACATCTTTCGAGGTCTCAACTTCGTACATGCGTATGCTGATGACTGCCTAATCGCAAGTCCGGACAGAGAATCACATCTCAAGCATCTGGATCTTGTTTTCGAACGATTACAAAAACATGGCATTACTGTAAACGTTCAGAAATGCCAAATCGGAGCTGACTCATTAGATTTCCTAGGACACACTATCGATGCTGAAGGCATTCGACCCCTTAGGACAAAAGTGGCGGCAATTCTGGATTACCCAGAAGCGACCACCATCAAGCAATTACGCACGTTTTGTTGGCCATAAAACTCCTACATTCTCTTTAAGCTTGTAGCAGTAAATAAATCCCCAAAATAAATAGCCCTGTAAGTTTTCGACATTGGATGCTGACCATATTTTTTAGTGGACTCATCTAGCTGAAGGCGCTCGGCCAGGCATCCGCACCAGATCACGTGTGGCAACGCCGTGCTCAACATCAACCGCAATCGCTAGCCAGATTAGATCAGAGAATTCCGATATATTGGTTATCACCAAATACACTCTTCCGATCTCGTCGACTCTGTCTTTTGATTTCTCTTGGTGGGTACAAATCATATTAGGTGTTACTGGTAGAAGCGTTGTCAAACACTGAATACCTGTGTCATCTTCAAGCTCCTCTTCAGACAAGTACTCTCTCCTTGAGTCTCGACAACTGGACTACATTTCGCAGTTTACTTCAGATATTCAACATATTTCTGGAGCAAACAATGTAGTTGCAGACGCCTTATCTCGCATAACTTTCTTGGACAGTTTCCAAGGAATCTACCTTCTTAAACTCGCCCAGCTTCAAAAAGAAGACACTGATCTTCAGCACGAGTTATCGTCCACAACCCTTAAACTACGCATCAAACAGATGGGAACAGGTAAGGAAACCTTACTTTGTGACACATCTACAGGTAGGGATCGCCCAATCGTGCCGAAACCTTATCGACGCAATGTCTTCAATACATTGCACAAACTTTCTCATCCAGGTGTTCGTGCAACCATCAAGCTTATAGCAGAACGGTTTTGCTGGTCTGGCATGAATAAAGACGTGAGGGAGTGGTCACGCTCCTGTGTAAGCTGCCGAAAATCTAAGGTTAGCAGATACAATAAATGTCCCTTAGGCTCATTTAAAACTCCCGATGCTCGTTTCGACCATGTTCATTTGGATTTGGTAGGACCTATACCAGATTCAAATGGATACTCTCATCTCTTAATCTGCGTAGGCCGCTTCACTCGATAGCCAGGAGCAGTACCTATGAAGGACGTTACTACCGCACCTTCTCCGAATGATGGATAGCAAACTTCGGCTGCCCTTCAACCATCACGTCGGGCTCATCAGTGTAGGTCACCAACGTAGATGGTCTACATCGAATGATCGGAGGCCCACTCAATTTAGACAGGAATGTCGTGACGAACCAGATGATGTCGAAGTCACACCTCGTGGTCAGCACCTTACATGTACTACCCAATTGACGTATCAAGATACCATAGATGCCTTGACGAGTGAACAACACAGAAGACGTTATTAAAGAAATATGTTAGTTAAAGTAGATACAAGTGAAAACAAGACCACTATCGCATGGGACATTCCATGGTATACGACTAACTGATGCGCATTGGTTGTCCTTGACCTTGACGAGGAGTGATGATCTGTTCGATATACAATGACGCAACTACCGGATGATTTGGCTAAGGCTCAGTGAAATTTCACTGGCCTTACATAATGAATGCCGGTCATTTGTGAGGATCTTAGCTTTATTAGCTGCGTAGATAACTAAACTAATGAAAAGGAGGTGATTCGATCTTGATAATGTTAGTAAAATGGTGTTGACTCCGGCACCATCAACTAGTACAAATTCAGTAGCTGACACTATTTATAAAGAAAAATAGGCGGTTAGTGGCCACTAGTATCTAAACTTACCTCTAGACTAGCATTTTTGTGAAAAATATTGCACAACCTGGTTCATTTTCTAGCTTTTTCATTGTGTTACCGATGAATATTTCACCAATAGTTCCTTGAGTTATCTATATTTTTCTTTTATGAACACTCTGGCATATCGAACGTCGAGTACTTGCATGAAAAACATAATTATGTTGAAGTTTGGACCTTTAAATAAAGCATGTACCGAAAATAATACCCTAATGTGCAGAACGCACTCAGTAAATAAGCTGAAAAAATGGCCGAGAACTCGGAGAACAATACACCTTTTGTTTTATGTAGACGTTATAGGTAAATCTCGACATTCAGATTCATCATACAGACGATGTATTTAAAACGTCTTTCTACTACCTTTCACAATGCAACCAACCAGCCTCGTGTCTGTTAGTATGATTATTGCTGGTCTGTGACGCCGTCCTCCCCTGAAACAAACGCACTCAGACTACAAGATATACAAAACCACAAATAATTATCAAACTGACTCGAAATAGTGCAGTTGAGTGAAAACACTACTGCTCATTAATATTTTCAAAGACCTGCGACCTTATTGAAACGAAAAGAAGGGAACACAGCGAAATCAACCAGTTAAAACAATTTCGTCGACAGAATATTGTGTATTGGAAGGTCATTAATGAGGGGAACATTCGAATAGTTTCGTTGATGATTGTGTCAAGTTTATTAATATAGGCTCACTTAACCATGAGGATGATTGAGAGTAGGCTAGAAGACTCCAGACACAAACTCATGGAGACCAGCAACAATATAGAGAAAGCTGCTGCGTTTTGTTCGGAAAAATATTTGGTAGTTGTTACACTGCTGATAACGTATGATAGGTTAACCCCGAAAGCAACACACTTGATGAAAGTTTAGAGTTAGCAACGCAATCTGTATGCGCAGTAGCTCACGAGGTTAATCGTTTCGCCAGTCAATTTCTTGAAGCCTTAGAGTACCAGTCGTATCAAACTACTGATTTGTCAGATAAAATTTCCAAGCTGAAAATGGCAAGTAGTACCTCACCATAATAATTTACTAGGTATGCAATATTTACTTAGAGAAGGTGTCGCGCAAGGCTGTTGGGTCGTGCACAGTGTCGAGGGTTCCGATTGTTTATCAACATGAGGCAGTGCTTCCTGAACCTCCACAAAAGTATATAAGACAACCAATCAATTTTTCAATCTTGGACAACGTTGGTCATGGAATACCCACACAAGTAATCTGTACTCGTTAAATATACTTTAGTTGCTTATCAAATGCTTTTAGCATATAGATAATATGTACATATATACATTTACCCGAAAAGATACAGTCTGGCTGTAAACCCAGACGAGTTAAAATTCTAGTTAAGAAAGTGCAATTTTTAAGAGATGTAGTAAAGAACTAGAGTGTGATAAACGCCCACTTCCTTTCTAAGCCACATGAATTCCGAAATCTTGTTTATACCTTTACTTTTTCGGCGAGATTATAATTTATGGACGATCTTTGAGTGATTATAAAGGTTCACGTACCGAAGCAAAACGAGGGTTGTAAAATAGCGTGGTAAAGTAGGATTAGGAGTTGGGGTCAGGAATTAGAGTTATGGTTTTTATCAAGAATTGACGTCGGCTATAATGCCAAGATGCTACCTACACATATAGGTAAATGAATTTCGCGTCGAAATTCACTTTAAATGTCATTATTTTTCGCAGATTAGAGTTTTCTGCTACTGCTACTAATATTACTACTAATTTTGTCACTTACTACTTCTATTGTTTTGGAATTTTTCTTGATAATCTTACCTTGTAATTGTGTTGTGATAGCCCGGGCTGACACACATGTTAGGTTCTATGTCGTATACCCTGACTTGTCTGAAGACATCTCAAGTCATAGTCTCACAATTACTAGAGCGCTAGCCAGAGATCATTGTGCCCGACATATACTATTTCTATGCAGCTATCTTTCATATCACAAAATAACTTTCTCGTTCCACACAGTTACAGCATCGGTAAATGGGGTACAATGTAAAATCCCCTGGGCTGACATTCTTAAAAAGTGATCAGAACACCGACTTGCATATTTCAAGGTGATGACACCGTAACTGTTGATAAACTCATTGAAGTATATATTCCATGGGCTATCGGAAAAAGACGACACATATCTGCTCTCAGTCCAGACGTTTACAACGATGGGCGGAACACTTTAAGGAGCAGTTCAGCTGACCTTCGGCTACTCTACAAATACTCACCATTCCCAAACAGCATGAATAGAACATTCAAGTAGGTCATTCGATTCTAGTTAGAGTCCGAAAAGCAATTATCTGAAACAAGACAGAGCAGCTGGACTGGCTCCCGAGATTTTTAAGGATGGTGGTCCAGTTTTGGCGATTAGGTTGACGAATATTTTAGCTAAAATCTGGAAGCTGAACGCAATCTCATCTGACTGGCCACAATCACTTATTGTCCCAATATATAATTGGTCAAAATCATCCTGTGACAGCTATAAAGGGACTAGTTTGACTAACATAGCATCTAAAATACTAGCCTCATTAATTGTCGGGCGCCTAACCAAGACTCGTGAACTGCCAACACCAGGAAACCAGGCTGGCCTCAGACCTGGTCGTGGCTGCATCGACCACATATTCACCATTCGTCAGGTTCTAGAACACAGGCATGTTTATTGGCGTTCGGCAGTGGTGGTCCTTCGTGACTTAAATGTAGCATTCGGCTCTGTAGACCGAGATATTTTCTGACATTGTCTGTCATTGAAAGTACGTCAACCTTGTGAAAGCTCTTCACTCGAACATTACTAATCAGGTTAGAGCATATGGCGAACTGTCATCTGCTTTTGTAACCTCAAGTGGTGTCTGAAAGGCTGTCCACTATCTCCATTTTTGTCCAACTTCATCATGGACGTACTGATGGAAATATTATTATTTATTTATTTTAACACATAGATATTGGTACAAGGAGGCACCAAATACATATGCGCCACGCGAATCTCATTCGATATGTGTGTGGGCTGTGATACTGCCCGGGTGCCCAAACCGAAGCAGGTGGTTATCTTAGGGGGCCACTTCCCGAGCCTTTGACCTGAAGGTCTGATCCACAAGGCAGTGGAGCATCGTAAGGAGATGCAGTCCCATGGTAGCCGGTGACCAACGACTGGTTCATACGCCATTTGTTCCCGCAGGATACTGGAGCCCATGTTCACCATTGATTTGGAATCCGGTTAAAGCGCCGGACATTCGCTTTTCGTCCTCTCATTTTCGTAAACAACACCCCCGCCACGAGAAGGCAATGAGTAGGACTTCCCTGGCAGAGGCTGTATACGCGTGGCCGTGTGAGAGTATTTCGAGAGGGAGAGCGGACTCTCCCCACTCTCGGCCGTACCAGGGCATTCAGGGGGCCATGTCAGTAATGCAGAGGTTCGGCATCGTGTGTTCGGGCACAGAGATGATAATTCAATTGGTGTCACCATCTTGAAACACCGACTTCGGTGGCTTGGACATGTTCTCCGAATGTCATCCCAGGGAATTCCACGTCGTGTATCATTTTTCGACGCTGGAACTGGTTGGAAGAAGCGGAGAGGTGGTCAGTATATGACATGGTGTCGTGGTATGAAAGAAAGCTGCAAAGGACTGGCTTCTGTTGGTCCTTCACGACTCCCTGGTTGGGGTCTGAGAGATGGTGCTACACAGTGGCTAGAGACGTTATTAGATAAGGCTCAGAATAAAAGCCAGTGGCGATCCCGCTGTAACCTTCTTTTACTTTCTTCATAAAAAGTGGTTGTGTCTCCTTTACCTGAAAGATTTCTTCTGATTGTACCTTTTCGTTCCGTCGTTACTACCACACTACCTTACTCCAATCTCTTCGTCATTGTTCTCTTTTTCTTTTGCGCTCCTTAGTTTTTTTTCTACTTCTCTTCGAATTCTCATTGTTTTGTGTGGCGCATATATATTGGCGCTCTCTTGTACCAATATTCATGTGTTCGAATAAATAAATAAATAAATAAATAAACAGAGCAATGAAGCGATGCTAAGAGATGCGGCTTAATGGTAACCGGTGACTAAGAATAGGTTAATAGGCTATTTGTGCCCCCAAGATCCTGAGGCTCATGTCCATCATTGGTTTGGAACCAGGGTTCTCCAACACCCCTAGAAGAATCCTCTGTACCCGCTAACTAGGTTTAAGCCCCGTACATTCAATTTTCATCCTCTCAATTTCGTAAACAAAAGCCCCGCTAAGAGAAGGCAGCGAGTAGGAGTCCCTTGACAGTGGCTACACATCCAAGGCTGTATGAAACTGATTTGAGAGGGAGAGCAAAAATTCCTCATCCTTGAACGTACCAAGGATTCTAGGAATGGTTTCATAAAGGAGATTGATTGCGGCCAGCAGTGGAGTTCAGAATGAACTTTTTGTCCACTTTGGAACTCGTCGATTTCAGTCAGTCAGCGACAACAAAGAACTTCGTATGTACGTACATCAGTTCGAGTTGCCACACCACATTAGCACACAGATGTAGTGGTCGATTCAAATCCCGTAGTGGTAGAGGTAATAAAAGTATAAGCAGTAATCGGGAAGATTAGTGTAGTCTACACCTACCAACATGACTCAGTCTACTTGTCAGTGACTTCATGGACTTGTGCCATGTTTTGGTCTGGCCACCCCTAGCTTTCTTCCAACCTACTCCTATACCACTGAACATCGCACGTCGAGGCAGTCGGTCGTTGGGCATACGTAACACGTGTCCCAGCCATCTCAACTGATGAAGTTTCACTACGTCATCAATTGATTTGCCATCTTTACCTAGTACCCGTATCCTAACAACTGCATTACTTAATCGATGGTCCCACGATATACGAGCAATATTTCGAAGACACCTATGATCAAATACTAATAACCTACGAATATCCTCTACTCTTACTGGCCATGTTTCACTTCCATAAAGTAGGACGGAACGAACTGCTGCACAGTAAACCCGTCCTTTGGTTGGTAGACGGATATCTCGCCTACGCCATAAATGACGCAAGTTGGTAAAAGCTAGTCGAGCCTTCTGTATCCGTGCTGAGATTTCGTCACACACCAGACCACAAGGGCTGATGAGACTTCCAAAATAAGTGAAGCGACCGACACACCCAACTACTCCACTCCCTATAATTAGTTCAGATGTCGATGCAACCCAATCCTGAAGCAACATTTTGCATTTCGAGGGGAGAATCGCATCCCGAACATGCTTGCATTGTTGCTTAGAGTGGTCAGATAACTCCGCATTTTGCCAGCGTCTTCACCAAATAGAACTATGTCATCAGCATATTCTAAGTCAACAAGTGAATCTCCCGGTAGAAGTTCAACCCCTAGAAATCTAGACGAGGAAAGTGTTATCTCTAGAAGTACGTCGACGACAAAGTTGAACAAGAATGGAGAGAGTGGACAGCCTTAACGAACACCACTCGAGGTAATCAATTCTGATGACAGTTCGCCATAAGCTCTCACTCTACCAGTTGTGTTCGAGTAGACAGCCTGTATAAGGTTAATGTACTTCTTTGGTACTCCTTTCAGTGGCAAACACCGCCATAGAACCTTACGATCAACAGAGTCGAATGCCTCACACCAATCACTCTGTTTTGGTTCCCTTTTCCTTAATCTTCTTAACCTTCTGCCGCCAGGCATTTCACCTTACATTGATGATACATGCCACTTATATCTGTCGACATCAGTAGCATACACCACACCACTAAAAAATCCTCTCTTAGCAAGTAGGTAAGATCCGGTGTTAGAGTCCACCTATGACCGTGCGACTTTTCCGTGCTTCCGATTTATCCACCGTCTAAGCAATAAAGAAATAGTATCACTCTTTGCTTGTGCATAGACTGGCATTGCTGTTTCAGAGGTTTCGATTTCAAAGGTGTCCAGTAGAACATTAAGAGGTATTCTATTTCAGGTCTGGTTTATGTCGATGGAAGTTGTTTTCGGTTGGGTAATATGACACACAAACGTCTGAGCCAACTGACACCTCGTAAACCACACTTCCTTTCTTTTACACGGTTCGACCAGCTTTCGATGTACGATGTTTATCACGACAGTCCATAGTAGGTACTTTTTGACCCACAGTGAACAGTCGTCTTTGCGCCCCATATCCGTTGAATCACTACTCTATCGATGTCTCGTTGAGGATCAAGAGCTGGCGTCAGATGAATGACATTTAGATGTGTTCGTATTTTTCAGTCAAGTAAAGCAACTGTTAGAGGGACCCCATTAATTGTCTGAGGGTTTGGTGTAGGTCAGGAACCTCTCTAAAGTCTCTTCAGTGGTCCCCTCTCCTTTTGATCTTTTACAGAACATTTCTAAGTGTACCAACGTTGCGTTCTACTTGGCCATTGGATTAAAGATGGAATGAAGGCTGTTCGGACATGATTGATTCCGTTCTGACGACGAAAATTCTGAGGAGATAACAGACGCAGACTGTGTTCCATTGACGCTAACTATTAATTCTGGAACCCCGAAACGACTAATAAATGGCATAGCTCTCCGACTATGCCGCTTGCAACTGGCTGTTCCGTCAGGAAAATTTCTGGCCACTTGATAGTATCCACCATTTAACAAAAGGTAAGTTTGTCGATGAAGTGGACCAGCAAAATCCAAGTGTATATGCTGCTACGGTGACTGTGGTATTGGCCATGATTGCAACTCTGCTTTCCACAGTACTTTTGTTACTAGTGCACATTTGGTACACAACCGAGATATCTGCTCCAGTTGGGTATCTAAATGCGGCCAGTATACATAACTTCGTGTTAGCGTTTTAATACGATTTATTCCGGGATGTTCTGCGTGCAACTGTCCAAACACTGCTGGTTGCAGCTTCGTTGGGATTATGACACGTTCAGCAAACAGAACGCAGTCATCGATGATTGAAATAGTCTGCGCTGATAAAACTGCTGAAGCTCTGCGGAGCTGGTGAGTGATCTAGTAGCATGACTAATTGCCTTTTCTGATTTGTCCGGAAACACGTGAGATATCACTGATCCAACTCCATAATAATGTGAAATACAACCTGAAGCACACCACATTATTTTCCTCATGATCTTTGTTCCCTCTTATCTTCCACTGGTTTAGTTGACTTTTAGTTTTTCATATATAAGTGTTCTTAACAAACAAATGCGTGATCAGATTTTTTTAAAATGCATTGAGTTAACATATCACATAGTTCTGATAGGCTTCATCTTATCGCACTATATAAATTTACTAAAGGAATGAATTGATTTGAGTCAGTGAGATAAACGATTTGTTAGAAGGCGTAGAACATCCTAATAAACTATGGCGATCAAGTCCCACAGCTTAATTGGAAAAAAAAATAGAAACTGGGAGAAATTCATTACCTCATCATATATCAACTTTTAGGGTTCAGATAAACATACCAAAGGCATTTAAATTAGAGTAAAATGTTAACATATATACATAGATCTTAAAGAATCAGCAGCACGACTAGTACGCTTAATTACACAATAAAAACTATTGTAATGCTCAAACACTGCTTATTATAATCAAACTTCACGTATATGCACATTATTTAAGAATAATTAATTAGTTCTAGGAAGGTCTAGAATGTGGATCAAATAAGTCGCCGTTCTAGTCAAATGTTATAAAGTAACTTCTTTATGTCAGTCTTTTCACACAATATGATTAAATCGTCTTAATGATACGAACTGATGACAAAATTAATGCACATGAAGTATAATCCATAAATAACCATGTACTTACCCAGTAGACGGTGTTGAAAGTTTTTGATGCTCTCTGTATCCCTTAGACCAATAACATATGGGTGCCTCGGATCAATAAGCCGCGGAACACCGCCAGTTGTTAGACATAATTTGTCATAAAAAATCGGACTCTCATAACCACGTTGTTGTAAATAAACAGTATGACTAGAAGGACTGAATCCAAAAATGTAATAAGAAAATCAAATGATGTATATGTATTTATATGAAGAAAATGACTGAACAGATCAGTTAGAACATATTGATAACGAAGTGACATTTTACAAACTTCATCGGTAAAGGCCTCCCTACCTTGTCGTGCTAATACATTGTTTGATTTTGAAATCCTTAACATTGATTTGCTGGCTTTCAAAAGATTCTCAGGCGTAAATTCATGTAATGATTGGTAACAACGAAAAATTAACGAGAACTCGATCGTTAAACCAAGACGGAAATGATACCTCTAATTAAAGCAAATAATGGGTTTTGTCAATATCAGACACACACAGGACATAAGTATGGTTATTGTTATATCCTAGCGAGGATTAAATTACGAATAACTTCTGAGACCCATTAATGGACTAATATTATAAATATATATTCCTATTATATAACTGTTCAGTAACTAGATTGTGTATATTTATATTCCTCTTATTATAAGCCTTATTTTGACCTATAATTTATTATTATACGATTTACTTTTCTTAAAGCATACTCAGTTTATTAATTACTGTCTCCCACGTTCACAGCCACTTTCTGACTTTATTGTGTATAAATGTTATTTCCTATTTTATAGTGCGATGCGGTCTGTTTGGTTGGTATATAAACCAAGTATGTCTGAAATAAATGATTCGCATAGTGGAAGCTGTTATTGATGTTCTGGACTCCACTGGACGGGCTAGGCGAGCGAAGGACCAATAAGGACGCTAGGCTGATCAGACCGGGGAAACGTCATTGGCTTAGCACAGTACATGAGTGAATAAGTCGTATTTCGATTGGCGAATAAATTAAATGATAACTAGCCGGACTGAAAATCACAACAGTTACCCACTTAGTCGCAAATGCTGGATTTATGAACTGCCGTAATCCATCTGTGGAAGTCTGAGTATTCACCCATCAGCCCTGCACGGTGTGTAGATGTAAATGAAACACTAAGTCCAAGGGAAATAAGGAAATTTTTGAACGGTTTACAATGGATAGTCACCTCGAAATACTAGTATGATATGGACTTAAAAATATCCCTTGAACAAAGCGCCCATTTTTACCATAGCTTACGAGCCCACTAACTAGAACTCACATGAGATCAAAAACAAATCTTACTGAAAACTGTCAATTTAACTGCATAAGGCAAGGTAATCATATTAGCAGGTGACCATAATGAATACAATGAGAATCTTAAGGATCTCATAAACCAAAGATGTCTATTTTTCTCTTACAAGCACTTGTTCTTAGCTAACACAAGGAAAAATATTGTCTGACTAAATAGTCAGCAACATTAACTCAACAATGAGCAAATATAGATTAATCACTGTAAGCCATTGTTATCCGAGGCAAAGCAAGTGGTTTTCTTACGTAACTACACTTCGGGACATCGACCCGTAAGTATACTGAAAAACGTGTTAACGCGACATTAAGAGAATCCCTATGTTAAACGGACATCTACATTTTCTATAAATCTATCATACGTGTAAAGCACATAGCGCAAACACATACGCTATACTATTTGTGCTGTAACGAACATAAATAAAGAATGAAAGTGTTTAGAACTAACCTAGGACACAAGTGCTTAAGCTAGGTTTCAGTGTTCTTCATATTCATCTCTGACCGATCAACTCATAAGATCTAAACCCAATATCCCTGAATCGGCTAGTTAGTCAGTCATAAATAAGTGTAGTTCCACGTAGCCACTCCTCGTTGTAGTCAACAGCAAGTTTTTTTTAAATCCCTTCTCAATTAGCCTCCTTGATATAGTAGGATTTTAAGGAACAAGTGTTTCAATCAATAAATACCGATTGAGTAATCACAACATGTAATTAAAGAAGCGTCTACAGTCAAGAATTCGATTTGATCAGTGAGGTAATAATGTTATTCATCAAAAATAGGTATTGTCATAATATGACAATCAAAATGATGTACAATAACTATCAAGTTTTTGTTTGGTCACCAACGTCCGTAGTGTTATTTAGCTTGATGATAGCATCAACGGGATAAGATTGAGGTTGGCTGAAAATTTTTTACTAATGGTGGTACATTATTTGATATTTCTGTAATCTTATGTCACAACAATGTGTGATGCACACCCTTAAAAAATACTAATCATGGCTATGGTGAGTGCAAAATAGAGGACGATACATATTCCAAACAACTTATAATGTTAATCAATTAAGTTAAGAAATATTGGATTAAGTTGCATAAGACATTCGGATTTATTCTGTCGATGACACTGCAGCAAGTGCACATCGTCCTGGTTTTATGATAACTCTTTGTTTATTTACATACTCTATTTTAGCACCACTTGCTATTCACTTGACCAGTAGGTACACTATTCTACAAAAATGTAGAGAAATATAGTCATTTAATCACTCAAAAATAACAAAATATTTTAATTAACAGATAAAAGGTATATCAAAACCACGGTCCAGCATCAAACTTACATTTGGACACTTTTCCTTAAGAAAATGGTTTAACGACTGACTTAACTAATACCAGCAACTAGTACAAAGTATCAAGTAAATAGAACTCACTCTAGTTTTATCATTGTATCACAGATTACGGTTAACGTGTCGGGCCATGTTTCGGACCATGAACTACCAGATTTCTCCTCAATATCAAAAGTTTCGATCATATTGCTTATTCGACGCAGATTGATTGTAGTTTTCACAGTTTGAGAAGCAGATATCAATGCTACACGTTTAGATGCATAGTTTAGATGACCCGACGATGACTGGAGAGCCCCAGAAAACCTGCTTGGATTTAAGAGTTCGCATAATGTTTCAGCACACACAACACCAGCAATCCCACCTCCAATAATAACATAATCAAAATGATTCAAATCCCTTGCAGTAAAGGCAGAGGACATTGTTACTAAAAAAGCTTAAGTGCCCTAGAAACAAATGAAGAGGAAAATGATGATCAATGAAACTTTACTAGTCCATTCAAGTTTAATTATTGACTACACATTAAACTGTTCATAATCAAGAAATAAATCTGATTTACAAGGAAACAACATTCACTCTGTGTGAAATTTTCTAGTAACAATAAGAAACTGATTAGCTGAGAAAGTGAATAAAATATAATCACAATGGTGGTAATAAGCTACGGCTGTCAAACAAAAACTAGTGGTTTTAACAAACTTTCAAAGCACATTGCAATGAGCCTTCCCATTTATGTGTTCATTTAAATGAACAATTGTGAAAGAAGCCAAAATACCAATGATCATCTGACATGGGGACCATCGAAACTAACTAGACGGATGCAAGTAGATCATATTATCGTCATTTATTGCTTAAGACTTAGTGGAAGGCTGGTGCTTGTTCTGCAGTAAATTTCTGTTAAACACGATCAAGCTGTATTGTGAAAACGCGTTCTCATGTAATACTGGATGACAAAACTTCAAGAAATACTCTTAGAGCTCAACTTAGAAGTCAAAAGTATATTTAAGGCTCCGAACGCGATAACGAGCGAAGACAACTTACACGCAAACTGATATAAGACCTACGCGTGAATTGTGGGCGATGAATGGAGAAGAGATGAGAAAGGGAATGAAACAACACCAGACATGTCTTCAGATTTATCAAAAAAAGACAGGCATCAAAAGCCCAAATGTTAGAGGTCGAGTTACAATATCTCCAAACAACCGAAATGGGAAATCGACACAAGTCACCAATTTGAGATAGTGAAAAAGACTAGCAGCTCAGGTGGATGATTTAGGTGGAGTTTAGTTTTCTGAGCTGGATGGTTTGGTCGTGAAGCTTTCATTGTTCTTCTAAACAACATAATCAGTACAAACTCTAAGTAGGAGTGAAGTGCTCGAATTTTTCTACATGACTCACAACTCGTCCTGTCGACCTCGACCATACAGCTCAAAGAACAAAACTCCACCTAGGTCCCCAACTCTTAGTAAGGTTAAGGAAGCTATAACTTGAATCAAAGGAAAGCAGCATAACCTAACAGGCTAACTCTATAGATCTTTAGGGATGACGATGATCGAGATTCTGTCGCTTCCTTATACCTTTTCAACGATTGATTTACCAATACTTAAAGTAGACAGACGATATAGTCCTAATCGGTGAAGACGGTGACATAATCCAGTATTTCGATCAGCTTGAGAAAAGATGTGAACATGTTCGGTATGTGCTTCTCGCCCTCCAAATGCAAAATGTCATCAGGATGAATTTGGATCGTCGCCTACTTTGATCATAGGAAGTGAAGTAGTTGAGTATGTTGACCACTCCACTTATATCATGTCTCGTCAACCCTGGTAGTTTGGCTTCCAAAACAGTCTCACCACGCATTCACAAAGTTCTGTTGGTTTCCTCTGATTTGCATTGTGCTGTAAACGAGATGTCCATCTGCTCGCCAAATAACAAGTATAGTACGAAGCGATTCGCTTTGTACTATTCCGTGGACATGAAACATGGTCTATGAAAGTAGAAGAGGCGCTCAGGGCGCGGGTTGTATTCCTCGTCTATCATGGACCAACAGAGTGAGTGATACTGAAGTTAGGGATACGGCACCAAACAAAGGTGGCAAGTTAGTCGATCAATATGTAGATCTTCATAGACTGAGGTGGTTGAGATATATATTGCATATCTGCAACCACCACCTGTTTCGACACCCGATCTTTGTCATCGTTGCTAATTAATTTATTAAACAGGTTTTTGGTATGAGCCAAAGTAAGTGTAAGAGCTAATGATATTACCCAGTTGCCCAAACAGAAGTAGGAGGGGCGGGGCTCAAATCTAAGATTTAGTAGCCGAAAACCGAGGGTCTTAAAACCACCAAGCCACCACTCGTAGTAGGTTGAAATCAAACCAGGAGGAACTAAACCGAGACGTATCGTGAGTCTGCGAAGTAACTTACCACTAATATGAACCATGTTAGTTGCAAACCATGACCAGTAGCTGGAGACGTTGAGTGACTCGGTCCATAGGGAAGTTGTAGTGTTGTAGGTGCAGACACTCTACTTTATCCTGGGTCTCGAGTTTTAAAAAAGCCTGGGAATTTTTGGTTCCGAAAATTCCCTATTTCTTCCCGAATAAAACTGTTGATAACGTTTTTTACTGCGATTTATACGACTACTTTGATATTCATCTTCATAACCTTATCCTAGTAAGGCGTGGTAACCTAGGCCAATGCACATGTCAGGTTGTATATTGCTTACGACTAACCGATCAGTAGAATTAGTGCATATTTCTAGACTGCTTACTTGTCCATCAATTTCAGTCCAAGTTTTGTGAATGATCATAAATAACTGCTTTCAAAAAGGAAACATACAGACGTAATTGTATCAGGTTGTAAATATTCACACCGAACTGAGAAAACTATCCTTCAAAGTACTTTAAAATCTCATTCGAACGAACTAACAAGTGTTTACTAATCACATCTCAGTTGTACCAATCACTAATCTGTTTGGCTTAATCCAAGGAGAGCGACCACAATAACCGACACTAACCTTATGATGAACGAGGTAAACTCATGCGGACAAACTTCGTAAATCGAGATTCAATTATTAGGGAACTGTTTTCGTATCATCAATGAAAGTGTGCTCATTTAAATGTGTGTGAAGACTTTTCTTTCTCCAGTTCTATAATGATTTGTTCGTGTATTTATGGAGAAACCAATTCTTTAGTTGTCGGAACATGATCTAAACACCCGGACCCAACCATTGAAATACTTTGAAGAAAAGTATCTAAAAGAATAAGGACTTATGGTATCAAAATTAAAATAACATCGACCGAATAAGAGTCACAATCTAATTGGGCTGTATGAGCCTTTAATCCATAATTCCCAAGATGCAAGGAGATAGTCGTTGAAGACTGATTAGTATGATTATTAACATCCTTTTTAATATTTATTTATCTGAGAACTTACATAATTCCCCAACCCACATATCGATGCTGTATCGCATGCTTTATTCATAAGATCATAGTACAGAAATCAAGCAATGAGACCCAAACATAATATCTGCCGTTAAATATATAACAGAAAAAATGTAGGAAACTCCTACATAACCACTTGCATACTTGAAAGGTAAATAAACCCGCTATGTTAAATATTGCGAACAATTTAAGTAAAAATAAATAATCTGACAAACAAAAGCCAGTAAGACACTTAATTTATATTATTCAATTCATATTCCATTAGGAACGCAAGAGGGCACTGTATGTAAGAATAAATAAGAAAAGGTACAAAAAGCATTCAACGTCAAACATGTTGTTTCCTGTTATCTTCGTCATATATCTTCTGAACTCCACTTCTAAGAAAGGACATGCGCATATCAATATTACGTATCATTTCCGTAGCTCGTTCCACTTTGTAGGTAGTGAGCGCACGATAAAATAATATAGCGAAAATGACGAAAATGAGCATGGCTGGCATCAAAACAATTGTTGCGGCTATGGCAGACAGGCTACTCACAGACCAAAATTTAACCCAAAATGCTAAAGTTACCACAGCTAAGAATAAAATGATGCCAACCACAGTACTGCAAATCCATGCAACTTCAACAAATCTATAAGGAAAAATTGGTAACTGTATAACAGATATCTTACGTTCTTAATCTGTTGTGTGGTGCTTCCTCAATCAAATAACAGTCTTGAGGGACCATGTATGAGTCAATATGTGGCAAAATACAAGTACTTATCATTACAGCCATTATATGCACGACAACCAGAAGACATGAAAGAATCGTGAAAGCAAACAATAATCCTTCAGGTGGTTTACTTTCGCCAACAGCAACCTAAACCACTTATTTACAGTCACTGTTAAAGTAACCTGCAATTCAATGATTGCAACCATAGCGAAACCTGCCAGCAACGCAGACACTCGACTAGTGGCTTTGAGCTTTGCTCGACTCAACTGTAAGTGTCTTCGAGCTAGTGAATATGAATCTGGGAGTACTGAAGTAACAACGTTGTCTGAACTCATTGGAAGTCCTAACAGTAAAAACAAAACAAGTTGGGATTCATAATAAGAATGATTGAACAGAAAACGAGGTGTAACGTTAATTAATTTATAGAGGATATGAAAATGCCTTTCCTCAATTGGTTGGAAAATTCAGGCTTTATCAGTCGCAACATCGTGACTGTCACTTGTCGTTCTAATATACTGAGCAATATCCCAAGAAAATATTTTTGACATGAAATATAGTTTGTCAGCTAGGTCAGGATGATTTAGTGGACATAGCAGGGGGATTTAAATGAGAAGAGACAACAGCATCCCTGGAGCAAAATAAGTTTCTCCGTCAAGTAATCAACTTTTAGGATCTACTGCTGACAGAGTTGGTATCTAAACCTTTAAATGGCTTAAGTTATTGAACACTTGTTCAAGAGATTAGACTGAAGTTTGCTGGTACAGAACATTCACAGGCCTCTGCCACTCCACCCTCAAATCATACATCTTATTATACAAAAGAACAGTAGGACCAGTTTCGTAAAACCCTGTGCAAGTTTTGTCACATAAAAATTACATGAATGATGCTATTTCATAATAAAGTAAATCTCTCAAATAACCGATACTTTACTGTCTATATTCGTGTAAGGTCTCATTAGCATTCTGCTCTTTATACCTGAGATGTACATCGTAAAAATTTACAGATGTCCTCAGATTAAGAATTCTTTGCCCGAAATAACTACTATTTGCGTAACCATATTAACAGATATATTCTGATCAGACGGAAACATACATCGGTAGTAAACCAATTCATGAAGTCACTAGAACTTCGTGAGAGTTGTTTAGGATGGGAACTTTTGCATTCAGTATGCGATACCGCAGATAAAAAATATGAACCAGTTCTATTTCAAGTCGTGAGCAAACGTACCTAATACTTGTCATTAGATCTTAAAGACGCGTCTTTGAGATTTAATGTGATACGCATATCACACATGCGTATCCATATATAATATATATGGACTTGATAGGTCATTTAGTTTTCTATGTAGTGAAAATGAAGAACAGCTTCCATAGCTGTCTGGCATTAAAAATTGTTGAGTGTCTTAGTTGACATCGACTTTGAATACTAATTGGATTAGCATAACATCATGATACTTAACTGTGTCAGATCTTATGTCTCAACGGTTCAATAAACTTACAACGTGATACACCCATATTTAATAATGAAAATAAACGACAGCAGTTAATAATGCGCAAATGACGATTTACAACATGTCATCATGAACATGTAGTAGTTGAAATCGGTTCTAAATTGTCTTTAATTTGCTCATCATTAGTGCATGAAATATTTAAACATGTTCCAAATTCATCATACTTTGAGGCGCGAGTTTTGAAATACCAGTAATACGTTATGAATTCGTGAAGCATGTTACGTGTCCAAAGGCATAATCACAATAGTTTAACTTGATTTATTTTAATCAACGAACGATTTTTAACTCATTCGTGTTATAACTATGTCATTTTGTTGTTTCTGACACTGTATAAACCTTGGTTAAACTTTTGCTTGCATTCCCGGATTATTCAGCTATAGTTGTCTCCATGTGGTAGAGGAATATTCACAAGCAGTGGTGATAAAGCCACATCCCCACAAATCTGAAGCGGTAAATAAATCCCCAAAATAAATAGCTCTTTATGTTTTCGACATTGGATGCTGACCACATATTTTAATGGACTCACCTAGCTGAAGGCGCTCGGTCATGCATCCGCACTAGATCACGAGTGAGAACGCCGTGCTCAATAACCCCTGTAATTGCTAGCCAGATTAGATCAGACGATCCACGATATATTGATAGCCTATCAAATATATCTTCGAACCTCCTCGCTTCGGTCTTTTGATTTCACTTTGTGGGTACGCTTCACATAAAAGTGTTACTGGTTAAAGCGTTTTCAAACTCTGAACACCTGTGGCATCTTCATTGGTGAGCCTAGGGTGAGTCTGTTCCTTGTTGAGATTTTATAAATCACTGCCTTATTTTAATTTTTTATACATTGTGATATTTAATTAGTGTTTTTGGACACAGATTTACTTTCACCTCGTTCGTTCTCATACTTCATATTTCATCATGGCTGAACAGAAATTCAAAGTTCTTAAGCTTAAGACTTTGTCCCCACCTTCGTTTCAACTGATTCCCTTCTGGCTGGACAACATAGAAGCCTGGTTCCGCTAAACACAAGCCCACTTCTTCGAGCGCGGTGTGAACGACACACGTGCACAATTTTTCGCGGTAGTAAAGGCACTACCTCGCGGCTTCAACAGGTACGTAACACCTAGTATGTTTACTAGTGGTGATTCATGCCATACGAAGCACGTAAAAGATCTATCCTTAAACGCGGAGACCTAACCCATCGATAAAGGTTAGACCAACTCTCTAATAACATCGACCAGCAACACGGTTCAGCAACAGACATGTTGCAACGAATGAGAGAGGTAGTCGGCCAAATAACCTTCGATGATGGCCTATTCAAACAACTTTTCTTATTCAAACTTCCACAACACATGCAAGCTGTATTGGTCTCGTTTCTAAGCAATACTGTAGACGAACTGGCTGCATCTGCTGACCGCATCTTAGAAATCACGAAATCTAAAGCCGAGGTTTTTTCAGTCAAAGAAAGGCCTTAAACGACCCAGAATGACATTACGGAGTCATACCATTTACATTTTATCTTAAATTTCGTAACGACCGTAAACCGTCACATACCCCGCTAAGCATTTCACGTACATTGGACATCGGGAGACTGACAACCCCGACTGGTTCTGGTGTTACACAAAGAGTTACGTTTACCTTCACGTGAGTTTACGCAAACTCGTACACTGGATTTTCGTTGTTACAGATGTTTCTATGCCAATCACTGTTATAAACCTACTACAACACCACAATCTAATCATCGATACGCACAAACAGAGGCTAGTAGACGAAAACACTAATTTATCCGTTTGCGTAACTTCCTTCTCTGGTTGCAAATTATCCCCTGTCACAATTAAGCATACGATAGACCCACTCTATCAACTACTACTCGACAAGTACCCTGAGATACAACAAACGCAACCGAAACTACCGTGTGTAACCAACAACGTTACACATCACATCACGACTACAGGACCACCTGTATTTTCTAAAGCACGCCGACTAGCTCCTGAAAAGCTGAGGTTGGCGAAAAACGAGTTCGACCATACGATAGACTTAGGAATCATACGACCGTCAAGTAGCCCATATGCATCTCCGTTGCACATAGTCCCTAAAAAAGACAGCAACGATTGGCGTCCAACTGGTGACTATCGGCGATTGAATGCGAAAACCATTCCCGATCGTTACTGGTTGCCTCATATTCACGATTTGACAGTTACCTTGAAAGGTACAACTGTTTTTCCGAAAATCGACTTGGTTAAAGCGTATAACCAAATCCCTATGGCTACTGACGACATACCGAAAACAGCTATCATAACTTCCTTCGGACTCTATGAATTTTTGCGAATGCCTTTCGGTCTAAGGAACGCTGCCCAAACATTCCAAAGATTCATAGACGACATCTTTCGAGGTCTCAACTTCGTACATGCGTATGCTGATGACTGCCTAATCGCAAGTCCGGACAGAGAATCACATCTCAAGCATCTGGATCTTGTTTTCGAACGATTACAAAAACATGGCATTACTGTAAACGTTCAGAAATGCCAAATCGGAGCTGACTCATTAGATTTCCTAGGACACACTATCGATGCTGAAGGCATTCGACCCCTTAGGACAAAAGTGGCGGCAATTCTGGATTACCCAGAAGCGACCACCATCAAGCAATTACGCACGTTTTGTTGGCCATAAAACTCCTACATTCTCTTTAAGCTTGTAGCAGTAAATAAATCCCCAAAATAAATAGCCCTGTAAGTTTTCGACATTGGATGCTGACCATATTTTTTAGTGGACTCATCTAGCTGAAGGCGCTCGGCCAGGCATCCGCACCAGATCACGTGTGGCAACGCCGTGCTCAACATCAACCGCAATCGCTAGCCAGATTAGATCAGAGAATTCCGATATATTGGTTATCACCAAATACACTCTTCCGATCTCGTCGACTCTGTCTTTTGATTTCTCTTGGTGGGTACAAATCATATTAGGTGTTACTGGTAGAAGCGTTGTCAAACACTGAATACCTGTGTCATCTTCAAGCTCCTCTTCAGACAAGTACTCTCTCCTTGAGTCTCGACAACTGGACTACATTTCGCAGTTTACTTCAGATATTCAACATATTTCTGGAGCAAACAATGTAGTTGCAGACGCCTTATCTCGCATAACTTTCTTGGACAGTTTCCAAGGAATCTACCTTCTTAAACTCGCCCAGCTTCAAAAAGAAGACACTGATCTTCAGCACGAGTTATCGTCCACAACCCTTAAACTACGCATCAAACAGATGGGAACAGGTAAGGAAACCTTACTTTGTGACACATCTACAGGTAGGGATCGCCCAATCGTGCCGAAACCTTATCGACGCAATGTCTTCAATACATTGCACAAACTTTCTCATCCAGGTGTTCGTGCAACCATCAAGCTTATAGCAGAACGGTTTTGCTGGTCTGGCATGAATAAAGACGTGAGGGAGTGGTCACGCTCCTGTGTAAGCTGCCGAAAATCTAAGGTTAGCAGATACAATAAATGTCCCTTAGGC